TTGCATCTTTCCAAACCTTTTATGTGTCATTTAGGGGTTGGAAATTCTGAGACCCTCAATGTTTTATTTTGTTTTACAACTAACTTTCCTAATTTCTTACCTGTTATAGGTAGAGTGAAAAGAACATATTGTTAATTAAATAATGTTCTTTCATGTTCTTTAATTGTCAGTATAATGTACTTTTATTTGTGACATAATTTTATTCATTGTTTATTTTGAATTGTTTTTTGAATTTTGTCTTTAGGTTACGGTGGTTGAATAAAAATAATGTTCATTACATTATATATATTATCATGCTCTTTATAAATATTACGGAGGTTCTTTAGATTTTACAAAACGAAAATTAAGCTGGATGTTATTTTATAACAGTTATGTTCTTTTCAAAACAGCGAGCTATCACTACTAAAATACGGCAAAATTGCGACCGTCTCTGACGGTCGCGGATTATAGTAAAAACGGTCGTAATTATTAATTGCGACCGTCAACGGTCGTAAGGTGGTGGTCGTTATTCACGTGGTCGCAGAAAACCATTATTGTGACCGTTTGACGGTCGCAGATTTTTTGCGACCATTTTTATTATTTTCAACGACTATTTAGAAAACGGTCGCAAAAATTTAAAACTGCGACTGGTTATGTCAGCGGTAGCAATTTTTGGAATTAGCGACCGCCATAAGCCGTCGCTAAAATTTTTAAAAAAAAAAAAATTGCACTACTGTTTTTCGCATCCAGCCTCACCAACCACCGAAACCACCTTTACCCACCACCACTTCCAACCCAAACCCCACCTTTACCCACCACTTCTGCCCACCCTAACCATGAAAACCCACCGCCGCTCACCTGAAACCACCTAACCCACCGCCGCTCACCTGAAACCACCTAACCCACCACCACCGCCAACCCAAACCACCTTTACCCACCACAACTCCTCACCCTAACCAATAAATCAACTACCGCTTACCTGAAACCATCTCAACCCAACGCCGCTCACCTAAAACCACCTCAACCCAACACCGCTCAGTCGAAACCACCTCAACACCACTCACCCGAAACCACCTCAACCCAACGCCGCCCACAAAAATTATAAAAAATTAAGAAAATTACCCACAAAATTAGAAATAAAATTATACATATTACAGAAATTTACCCAAAAATCAGAAATAAAACAATAATATAGATCTTTCAAAAATTATAAACTAAAATTACAATAAACAACACAAATCAGAAATAAAATAATAATATAGATCTTTCAAAATTAAAAACTAAAATTACAATAAAACAATTATACATAATCAGAAATAAGAAACAATAAATCTAGATCAACAATATAACCTAAATTAATTATCAAATCTAGAAAACCTTAGGCTCATTCTTGTAACGGTGGGGGTCTTGTTACAGTGTGTGGTCGTGACGGTGGCAAGCAGCGTGGAGGAGAGGGAAATCGCCGGCGAAGCTTCCGATTTGAGCCAAATCTTGAATGAGCGGCGATTTTCGGTTTCTTATTCTTCAATTCTCAAGTGCTTTGCTTCATTTTCGGAAGTGAAAGAGGAGAATTAGGAGGTGAGAGTGAAAGAGGAGGGGCGTGAGAAGGATAGAGTGGAGATAAGGAAAATGGAGGATGAAAGAGGAGCTAGGGTCGGCTAAGAAGAGAGATAGAGATAGAGAGAGAGAGAGAGAGAGAGAGAGAGAGCGACTGTTAACCAAAAAAAAATTAGGGTTAGTTTGGGTTGGGAAGCTTAAGCCCCTTATAAACCCTATTTTAAAAATTAATAAATAAACAATTACGACTGCTAAAACGGTCGCAAATTGTTATAATCTGCGACTGCCTTATAAACGATCGCAAATATTATAATGGTCGCAAATTGCGACCGTTTCTATAACGGTCGTAATGTTCGCAATTTGCGACCGTTTTTGGCGGTCGTAATAGAATTGTTTTTATTTAGAATTATTTTTAACATGTATATTATTTTAAAGAAATTTTTAAATACCTTTGCAACTGTTAAATAGCCTAAAAACGGTCGCAAATGTGCGACCGCCTTAAAAACGGTCGCAAATCTGCGACCGCCTTAAAAAATATTATAATTTGCGACCGTTTTAATGACGGTCGTAAAAAAAACGGTCGCAATTTGACCGAATTTTAGTAGTGTATATATTCATTACAAACAATTATATGTTGATTTTGCCTCGAAAAAAATTTAAAAAATATGTATGCACCGCCTCCATGAAGAAAATTTCAAAAGAACATGAGCGATTCATTTATATCTTTTTAAATTTTAGTTTGGCTTCATTTCATAAAATACTTCATCCTCTAGCCATAATTTATTAGAACTTTTTTTTTGAATAATAATAATAAAAAAAATAAAAAATTTAGCAAATGGCAATTAATAAATTATAATACGCCTACCTATTCTAACTTTCTAAGAAAAGTATATTTTCATGTACATACTCATCATAACTATCTTTTTAATTTTAAATTAGCTTCATTTGATAAAATACTTCATTCCCTAGCCATAATATATTAGAACTTAGCAAATACTTCATAATAATTAAAAAAAAAAAATACAAAATATGGCCACTTATTCTAAGTAAATTAAAGTACATTTAAAAAAGATTTATATATTTAGAGAAAAAAAAATCTAATTTAATGGATCCAAGTTCAATTCTTAATAAAAGCCAGGACAAGTGAACGGGAGTAGGAAGGATTCATTTAGATTGATTATCCCTAATAGTTGAGGCCATTGTCTCATGCAAAAGTTGGCTAATTGACCAAATTGGTAAATAAAAAAAGACCCTTAGGGCATGTTCTCATTGATTGAACTCAGCTGAATTGAACTGAACTGAGCTGAGCTGAGCTGAGCTGAACTGAAATGAATATTTTATAAGAGAAGGAAATTAGGAGCTGAACTGAACTGAGCTGAGCTGAGCTAAACTGAACTGAACTAATTTCAACTTATGAGAACAGGCCCTTAGTGACAATTTGGTAAAAAAAAATTAACTCAGGCGACAATTTGGTAAAAAAAAGTTAACCTTAAACGACAATTTGGTAAATAAAATTATCTTAGGCGACATTTAAGCCCAAAAATACAAAAATTTCTTACAAATTACTCGCAAATACTTAAATTAGTTTGTTTTCGTGGTTTTTTTTACCAACCCTTTTTATGGAATATAATAATTTCAAGAAAAAAAACTTATTAAGTATCAATTTTCACACCCTTTATTAATGAAATGTTTTTAAAAAGGGGTTGAAATTAAGTTTGGTATCGGAATTTAGCAAAATAAAAAGGAGACGACACATTAGTTTAAAATTTAAAAAGGAAAAATAAATTAAAAACACGAAAATAAATTAAATTAGGATTTTTAAAGAGTTTGTTGGGAAAAAATAATTTTTTTGGTCTACATGTCGTTGGAGTTTATTATTTTAACCAAATTGTAGTATATGGTAAGCTTTTTTTACCAAATTGTCGCCGGAGTAAGTTTTTTTACCGAATTGTCGCTAGGGGTTTTTATTACTTACCAATTTGGTCAATTGACCTACAAAACTTCAGTAAACAAGCCATAGCAAATCTTCATTCTTCTTAGAAACAACTCAATATTTATAACTTATCATAACTTTAAACGAATATGTAAGAAATGTGTGAGTTTTTTTTTCCCAAAGTATTTGTACTTTGACCGAACTTGATTTAATTTAATAAAGCCCTTGCTATCTTTCCCTAAAAAAAATGTAAGAAATGTTTATATAACTAATTATATGGGCTGATTTGAATGTGTATTCTTTTTATATATGGACTTTTGTTCTCCTTTTTAGCCCATTTGATGTCTTCCACACTATGACCTAAAAAGGAGCAATAACTGGGCTATTGACTTGTTGAGATGGGTTAAAGTTATGTCAAAAAGGTTCCAAGTGGACAAGTTTCCAATATCAAGTTTAATTTGTAATGATAAATAAGAATGAAAGTTTAGGGCACCTTATTACTCTTCCTGTTTCTTTTTTGTGTCTCATTTGTCTTTTTTCACATATTTCAATGCAGTTGACGTAAAGGAGTATGAGAAAAATCAATTTAACAAGATCTCATATGCAATCATCAAGATTCATGGTTTAAATTTGTCTCGTAAAAAAAAAAATATTTCAAAAAAGAACGGAATGACTCCAAGAGTTCAAATGGCCAGGAACGATAACATCTTGAGTGCTTCTCAAACAATATTCAGGGAAAACAAACACTAAAATAAGATTAAGGGTCTGTTCACTTTAGCTTACTTTCAGTTCAGTTAAGTTCAATTCAGCTCCTAATTTCCCTCTCTCATAAAATATTCAGTTTAGTTCAATAAATGTGAACATGCCCGCTCATAAATTGCCAACTTGGTAATCAAAATCCTTATTCGAAAGCCAAACAATACCTTGGGAAAACAGAAATTGTACAAAGTGTGTCATCAAAAATTACATTCAGAATTCTAAATTAGTCTAACCAATAAAACCTTACGGAGAAACCCAAGTTCTAATAAGACATTAACATCCCAAGAATACAACAAAATGCACCAAAATCAACATAATACAACAAAAATGAATCACGATCAATACTTCAATAGCATGCAAAAGCTTACCTAGTTATCAAAATTAACTAAAATCAACAAAATACAAAAAAAAGTCATAAAATCAATAGAAATTGCATAAAATCAGTACACCCAGAAATCAAAATGCCAAGAAAAAAACATTACAGAGTAGAATGCAACAAAATGTTGATTACCTGTGATTCATTGTGTATAACAATTTGACATTTGGCATGTATTTTACAATGATTAGTACATATTTCTATGCCTTCATGGTTTAATGTAACGTTTGATTCAGATTTCAATCTTACTAAAATATTAAATTATATTAAATTGTGTTTTGTACCTCGATTATATGGATGTTATATGTATATATTAATATATACTCCATTTTTTTTTTGAAACAATTAATATATACTCCATGATACACTTACAATATTAATTTTTATTGATTTGTTCCAAAAAAAAAACATAGGGAGTACAAAACACGACATTAGCCAAAACAGTGGAACACAACACGACATTAGCCAGCATTAATTTCTTGTACAATGCCTTCAAGGCTTCAAGGGATAATTTTACATGCTCAATCTAAAATTTTGCTTCACGATTAATTGTTAATTGTTACGTTGTTACATCTTTGATTCCGTATAGAAGATAGACATTAATCTGACATATATAGATAAGATACAAATTCTGATGTTGACAAGCATGTTAAGACATTTGCAAAGGCCAACTTCAGAGTTCAGACCACAAACTGACCATCCCCACACTGAATGAGTAACAACAACGTTTGATATATAGTCTGTCCAATCTTCATGGACTTTGAAAAAATCAACAAAACAATGCGAGCCACGAAAACCTCGCTGCATAAAGATAAGCATATGTCACGCCCTTTAGCAGAATAATCCGTTTATATGTAGCTGAGGCGATTATTTTGAACAGACTTTAAACAACTAACATGTTTGATATTTCCGTAGTAAGATAACAAATTTAAATGAAGTAAATGGCCGTATACTACAAAGATATTTTCATGGACAAGGGCTAAAGGATTTTACTTCTTTTCCAAGAATCACCGTTCATAAAATATAGCTAACCTGTCGCAGTGTCGCGTCTTGCCATTACATGTTTTTGCTGTATGCAAGAGTTTCCAGGCTATATGTTATCGTTCTAGAATTATATTTTTGAGCAAATTAGTGTCAAGATTGAAGCGTTCAACCAGCAAACCCGAAAAAATAATCACAAGATGGAATGCATCCTTTTTAGCTTGGTCTGTGCTTTTGTTTTCATACTTATGCCACTCAAGTATCTACTTAGAGATTACCAAACAAGAAAAAAATTCAATCTCCCACCATGTCCTAGAAAACTGCCTATAATTGGGAACCTTCATCAGTTAGGCAAAATGCCCCCTCTCACACTCAGGAAACTAGCACAGGAATTAGGACCTATATTCTTCCTACAGCTTGGCGAGGTTCCAACAGTCGTAGTTTCATCTGCTGCTATGGCCAAGGAAGTGATGAAGACGCATGATTTAGAATTTTGCAGCCGGCCTCAGCTGTATTCTGCCAAATGGCTCTTTTATAACTGCACTAACATTGTTTTCTCTCCTTATGGCGCTTACTGGAGGCATGTTAGAAAGATCTGCATACTAGAGCTTTTAAGCACTAAAAGGGTTCAGTCTTATGACTTTGTAAGAAAGGAAGAAGTGTCTCGCTTAGTTCATAGAATTGCAGATTCTTGTCATCAGGAAATCAGTCTGACAAAGGTACTTGGCTTGTACGCGAATGATGTCCTGTGTAGAGTTGTTCTTGGGCGGAATTTCTCTGAGGGAGGCGAGTATGATTTACATGGTTTCCAAAGTATGCTTGATGAGTACCAAGAGTTGCTTGGGGGTTTTAGCATAGGAGATTTTTTCCCGTCTAAAGAATTTGTGCACACACTAACAGGCCATAAATCAAGGCTAAAGAAGACGTTCAAACGATTTGATAGCTTTTTCAACAAGGTGATTCAAGAACATCTGAGTCCACAGAGGAAAACTGAGGGAGCGAAGGACCTTCTAGATGTTTTACTCGACATACAAAAAGATTATTCAAGTGAAATGCCTTTAACTATGGACAACATCAAGGCTATTCTACTGGTAAGATGTTCAATTCATAATTCTTGCTAATTAAATCAGAAAATACAGAGTTTTACTTTCAAGTAAAGGCTATATACTAAAAATATGATTATCGTGTCCAGGACATGTTTGCAGCAGGTACTGATACAAGCTTCATAACACTAGATTGGGGAATGACAGAAATGATTTTGAACCCGGAAGTGATGAAGAAAGCACAAGCAGAAGTACGAAGCGTTTTAAGAGAAAGAAAAACTGTCTTAGAAAGTGATTTACCTCAGCTGCACTACCTTAAAGCTGTTATAAAAGAGGTCTTCCGCCTGCATCCCCCTGTACCTGTACTTGTACCAAGAGAGTCCATCAAAGATGTTACTATTGAAGGGTACGATATCCCTGCAAAAACACGGGTTTTCATCAATGTCTGGGCTATAGGGAGGGACCCTGAATCCTGGAAAGATCCAGACACATTCAATCCTGACAGATTCCTAAACAGTGCAATTGATTTCAAGGGGCAGGATTTTGAGCTGTTACCATTTGGTGCAGGAAGAAGAGGATGTCCAGGCATCGTGTTCGGAACTGTGACTATAGAGCTCGCTCTTGCTCAACTTCTCCACAGCTTTGACTGGGACCTTCCTCCAGGAGTAGAAGCCAAAGATTTGGATCTTTCAGAAGCTTTTGGTATATCCATGCATAAGACATCTGATCTTATTGTAGTTGCTAAACCACAAGTATCCTGAAGACTGAAGACACTACTTGTATAAGTTCAGGGAAAAAAAAAGGTGGAAGTAAGCCTGTGCTCTATGTTATGTATTGTAATTTTATGTACACAAAGTCGAGTTTTGAATCATCACTACAAATCCAAACTAGAGAGCAAAATTCATCATATTTATGAGTAAATGCTCTGTTCATCGATTGCATGAAAACTAACTAAGAAAACATGACTATTGCAACTAGGCAAATAGTTTGATTCAGAACGAAACATTAGTTCATCAGGGATTTAATTATTCTACTTTCTGGCTTTAGACTTTATTAACATTTATTAGTAATTACTTGTATCAGTTGTATGTTAACTGCGCAGGTTGAACTCTGAAGAAGTAAATTAATACATGACTTTGTTTTGGGCCCCTTTTAATCATGTGGCAAGGCAATACAGACATGAAAAAAGCAAAAGGGACAATTAACAAACCAGATGGAATAACAAGTCAATTATTTCTTTTAATTTCCCCTAAAACTTGGAAAGGTAACAATAAAGCGCAAGAATTAAGACAAATTATAAGAGCGCGCAAAAAAGAGAGTAAATGTGCGAAAAACATAAATAAAAGAGTAAGATATATCGAGTCAAAAGATATAAATATTGTAGAGTAATAGGAGTAAAGTAATAATATAAGGTGGATAAAATGAAATAATTAAAGTAAAAGTGTCAAGAACATTTTAGTGTTAGAACATCTCCAATGGTTGTAGCTAGGGATTTGCTTGCAATTTGAAAAATTTATTAGCTACTAGCTTGACCACTAGAACAAAATAAAATTAGCTTGGTCAAGTAAATATAATTTGCTCGAGAAAAAACTTGTCGAAAAAAGGGGTTGATATAAAATTAAATTTAAAAAGCTAATTAAAAAATTAAGTCTCATATAAACCACAAGCTAGTAGCTTACAACTGGAACACAAACTATCTACAAAAGATATTAGCTTAAAATCTTATGTGGCATAACAAGTTAATTAGCTTACCATTAGAATTTCTGGAGAACATTATGAAACAAAGGTAATATTAATAAATTAATTGACAAATTTGGAAGGAGATCAGAAAGATATCACTAAACAGAAGAAACATTTGATATAAATCAATTGAGATCAACATAAATGGGAAGAAATCACAATATACTTAAAGCTATGATAAGGTATCACTTGTGATTTTATATATATAAAAATAATAATAATAATAATAATAATAAAAATAGAGTTTTAAAGGGAAAAAAACAAATTAATCCTATGGCCATCCCTAAGGTTTGTACTTATTATATATATAGCCCCATTAGCCCTTGATAAACAATGGATTTTAGTACACAAGCTCTCTCACATTCTAGAAAATTAGAGAAAATAGCTCTATCACAATTCACAAGTGAAGCAAAAACATAGAGAAAATGTCTAATATCAAGCAATTGCTAGAGTCTCAAATAAACTTGTTCTTTTTGCACCCTTTCACAGCCTTACCATTCTTATTCTTCTTCATCTTCTCCATTTACAAACTCCTCTTTAACCACAAAACCCGAAATCACCTACCGCCTTCTCCATCAAAACTTCCAATCATAGGAAACTTGCATCAAATTGACAAGAAACTACCACACCGATCATTGCATAGTTTAGCCAAACAACATGGAGATCTCATGTTACTCTACTTTGGCAGAAAACCAGTCCTTGTAGTCTCATCCGCGGAGGCAGCATGCAAGGTTATGAAATCACATGACACCATTTTCGCAAACAGACCAATTCTAAGCATGTTCAAAAGGCTTCTTTACGACTGTAGAGATGTTGCAACAGCACCTTATGGTGACTATTGGAGACGAATGAGAAGCATATGTGTCAACCAACTTCTAAGCTACAACAGGGTCCAGGCATTCCATAATGTCAGAGAAGAAGAAATAGCACAAATCGTGGAAGAGATTAGAAGTTCATCACCGTCAAAAGCAGTAAACTTAAGTAAGATGCTTTCCAATTTTTCAACTGATGTTATATGCAGGGCAGCCTTTGGGATGAAGTTCAATGGACAAAGAGACGGAATCGATTTCAAGGAGTTGCATGAAAAGCACGAAGAACTCATAGGCAGCATTAACATAGGTGATTTTATCCCTTGGCTAGGATGGATTAATCACGTGAATGGTGTGGAGAAGGATGTTAAGCGAGTTTCAAGAAATATGGATAGCTTTCTTGAAAGTTTAGTCCAAGAGCATAAATTAAAGGGCATAAATGAAGGGGAAAAATCAGAAAACAAACAAGATTTTGTAGATGTTTTACTAGAGCTGCAACAAGATCATTCAGCCGAAATGAGCCTTGACAAGGATAGCATCAAAGGCATTATATTGGTATGTTCAATTATTTCATACACCTTTTCTATGTTATTAATCTCCTTATCTAAACCTTATAAATTGGTTTTTTTTAAATGTTAGATACAAAAATTTTAAGCATAATTTTTCATGATTATTTAAGTTGATTTCACTATTGCATGTTAAGTACAACCAATTAATCCACATTTAAAAAAATAAAAAAAAATAAAAAAAAAATAAAAAATCCACATATCTGATCCCAGGAAGAACAGAGTTATTGGAAAGTCAGTCCTTGTAATTAAAAAAGAAAATTTCTTATATACCCTTTTGTTATCAAGTACTGAAGTACATAATCACATACTTTGAAAAAAATAAAATGAATTTGAAATCTATAATTTTGTTATTTAAGTTAGTCCCTATGTTTTTTTTACATTAACGAAAGTCGAAAGCCTTTATTTTTCAAGTTCTTCAATAATACATACTACTATATCTGAGCAAAAAAAATAAAATACATATCTTTTCATATGTATAAGAAAGTTAACATTTTGAATTTTTGAGGCATTTTGAGCAATAACATATCTAAATTTGTTCTTTTCAATTTGTGAGAATAAAATATACAAGTATATAACAGGGTATCACATGATAATACTCGTATTATTTACTTTGTACGGTATGTATTTATCAATAGTGCAGTCAAAGTTCATTAAGTTTGACTACAAAAATAAAACTATTGCATTTATTAAAAAGAAGAGGGAGTACCAAACAAATTATTTGTAACGTAACGTTGTTTAAATTTATTATTGGCACTATTCTCATGGACACCAATATCATCTTTGACCATTAATATTCAATTTCAAATGAGAAAAATATATTGTAGAAATTTGATAGTTTGAAAATGTACATCAAAACGAATCTAATAAATTCTCGCTTAATAAAGTTTTGAAAATATTTGTTTTTCTGATCTAAGTTTTCAAACTTGTGCCAGAATTATATGTGGAGTACTTCGTATTAAGTATAGCACCTTTCAACCTGTTAGGGATTGAATCTCCTTTAAAGACAACTTTGAGGAAAGGATCCCCTTACGGCCTTACCCTCTCCCTCCCCAAGTGTCTATCTAGCCCACTCACATGAGATGGGTTAACACGTGAGGGGTTCTAGCCTAATAGGACCCAGTATTCTAAATACTAGATTTGATCACTAATCCAATGTTTGATGCAGGACATGTTTGTAGCTGGGTCTACAACAACTTATGCAACACTAGAATGGGTCATGTCTGAACTTTTAAGAAATCCAACAATCATGGAATCTCTACAGAAAGAAGTGAGGGAAATAACCAGAGATAAAGCAAACATAACAGAGAATGATCTTGAGAAAATGGAGTACCTGAAAGCAGTAATCAAGGAGACATTTAGGCTACATCCTCCAGTTCCCTTGTTGTTGCCTCGCATTTCGTCTCGAGAAACACAGCTCAATGGCTATGACATACCTGCTAAAACACAAGTCATTATCAATGCATGGACAATCCATAGAGACCCAAGTTTTTGGAAAGAACCTGAACGATTTAATCCCGAGAGGTTTCTGAATTCTTCCATAGACTTTAAGGGGCAGCACTTCAACTTGATTCCATTTGGATCAGGAAGGAGGGGGTGCCCAGGGATATATTTTGGCACCGCGAACTTAGAGCTTGTGTTAGCAAACTTCATGCAGAAGTTTGATTGGGCATTGCCAGAAGGAGCTCAAGGAAAGAATTTGGACATGGAGGAACACCCTGGAGTTACAATTCACAGGGAGACTCCTCTTCGCGCCATTGCAACTCCCCGTTTTACCTGGTGAATAATCAAAGCATCAACATATACCAACAACTCTTATCTGCATCAATCCTAGTCACCCCTGAATAATGCTTTAATTTCTTTGTTTATTAGAATCGTAAGCCAACCTGCAGTAACATTATAACCACCAGTCCACCAGTTTGTTTCTTATTTTTGATCCATTGTGTCTTATTTAACCTTAGTGCATTTTCTTTAAAATTCAAGTATTTTTAGCTCAGAGATGGAAAAAAAAAATTATATACACCCAGGTGCAAAAAAATCCAAGGGTCATTTCTGCTCATTTTTATATTTTTGCTCATTTTAAAATCTTAAAATAAGCAACAAAATATCAAATAATTAAAAAATCACCCTTGGGTGCACCTACCTTTTTATGGAAGCCCAGAAATGTCTTAGGAAGTTATTTGCCTCACCTGCACCCTGCGCCTAAATACTTTTCATGAAATGGATTTTCTGATTACACCCCCTGTACTGTACTCATACTAAGAGAATCCAAAGGATACATTACTTTTGAAGTTGACATCCCTGTAAAATCACATATTTTCATCAATATTTGATCCATAAGACATTCGATCCTGAAATAACTCACAGAAGCACAATTTTTTTGAAAGGCATGTAGTCTCTTCCACCTTATCTCCAAATGTGCAATCCAAACATACACAAGCTTATACTGAAGCTTCTCAAGCAATATTCTGAAGACATGCAAAGTGATCATTGATTGAACTTTAAAAAATCTACATCGTTTCATATTCACAATGACAAGCCACTCTAGACAATCTTATCTCTATACACACAAGCAAGTCCTAACATGAAAGTTTAATTACGATGTCGGCCTGACTTTGTACGCCTCTTCGGATTGGCAGGAGCGGATTGCATTTCAGGCACAGGCAGCAATGTTCCTCCTTTTAAGCCATCTGAATCTGTTATGCTGCCAATTTTCCTTTGTGCTTCCACGTAGATTTTAAGGTCTCGAATCTGTTATGCGAAAATAATTAAAATTATGTTTACACGCCTTTCATCCATGGATGAAGTAATAAATGTGGGGGCTTAAATTGGAAGTTTACGCATTCAAGATGAAAGAGAGAGGGGGGGGAGGGGAAGGGGGAGGTTAGTAGAGATTAGAACACTATTAAAAAAATTCACCTGCTCCTCAAGATCAATGATCTGCTCATCTCTTGATCTTAGAGACTTCATCTCCCTGACCAACAAAAGAAATGAAGATTTGAAAGTAAGCTAAAACACGCAGAACATTCTCACAACCAAATATTAAAAAGAAGAAGAATCAACCACTCCTTTCTTCCCTATATAATAGGTCAAATCATCTTGGTCATTTTAAGAGAATCGAGTTTTAATATCATATCTAATACGAAGTACAATTTAATTATTCACATATCCTTTGTACAGGTGTAACCTTTTCTTTAAAATTCATAGCTCAAGTATCATTAAGGATATCATTGGAATTTTTTAAGTTTAGCGCGCTAACCTTTCCTCAAGTTCCTTCATCTTTTTCTTGTACTCTTCCTGCCCCCTCATTAGAATATGATTCTTCTGAAAAAAGAAGAAAGAGGTAGGGATGTTAAGGAACGAATATATATTCTGTAGAGAATCAGATAGATAACCAAAGACAATGTAGAAAAGTCTTTTTATAAGAACTAGTAGATTTCTCAAGATGTTTACTCACATCCATTACTGCCTTTTTTTCTTCTTCGTATTTTTCCAGTCTGCACTGCAGGTCTTGCATCTTTGTTGTTACAGCCTTCTCAACAGCCACGGCAATACTATTATCCTTTTTACTTCTGGCCTCAACAAGCAGAGATTCATAATACTGACCAAAGAAGAGAGAGAATATTGAAGCTAATCTATCATCTTCACCACTCATTAGATAAGAATATACCTAACAAAAGTTCTTAAATCATTCCACTTAGACCTCAATCAAGCACTTCATCAAAACAACTAAACTATTTCAACAGTTTAAACAAAAACTGAATTCATTATCAAAGCAAAAGTATAGGAAACATAAGGACCTGTCTATGGTTCTCCAGCTGAGTTGCAAGAAGATGATTGTACTCATCTGTAATCTGTGCCCAAAAAGTAAGAATGTAAGCAATTGTTCATCTTTGAAGATAATTTGTTCTAGCATTGAAAAAATTACAAAACAAAACACCTGGAGTTCATAATCATTTAGAAATATCTGGGTGCAACTATTTATAATTGTACTTTCCAGTTCAAATTAAAACTTAAAGAAAACACATGATTCTGGTTCAAAGGTTGAGTGATTTATAATTCTGTTTCAAATGAGTAGTTTAACATCAAACATGATTCATAATAATATGATCGCCATAGGTATTACTATAAGTAAATCATTAAAGGACATACTGCTTCGACTTTGCTGCCATAGAGAACACCAGTCATTTCAGAATCCTCATCGTGGACACAATCTCCATCATAGGACATGCAATGTGAGTCAACCGCCACTGACTTTTCACCAGCTTTGGAATGGTTTAATCGATGAACATAACTGTCACCTTCATAATCCCAAACCCTCTGCGTCTCTAAATTGAGTGAATAGCAATGCTGTGTATCTTTCCAATGCCTAAAAGTGTGTCCTTCTTTATACCTTAAAGCAACAACCAAAAGCTTGAGACAGCTAATGCCAGAAATGTGAATGCTTTGAGATACTTACTCAAGCAAAATGATGGCCATTTTACCTTCCACATCCAACAAAGCCACATATGATGCAAACCCAGAGGTTCTCTGATGTATCACAAACAGAACAGTTAGGCCTATCATCCGGCTGCTGGCATAATCGACAAACCTGATGACATGCATAGCAAAATTAATTTATACTGCATTATTGATCAATGCTTGTGTAGCCAAGACCACAAAATTTTACAAGCTTCCAAATTGTAGCCCAGCAAATAGCAATGGTTACTTTCATTCTTCAGGATCTAGAAAAACTGTGAGCAGAAGACAAGTTTTTTCGTATAAGCCACTCCTTAAGCAGGTGCCAAGGTTTCAGATATAGCCATATGGGGGTATTGGCATGAATATATACATATTTACAAATTGAATGAAAGTTGTGGGAATTAAACCTTTTCATTCCAACCACCTGAACCCATCCTACTCCTACTCAAACCAACAAACGCATGTTAATGGGATAACCACTTTCATTTCCACTTATACTGCGTTTTAGCATCACAATTCTAACCATATTTCTTCCAATTACGCAGAAAAAAGTTTTTCCAGTAAACATAAGTCACTATCGCGTCTAATATGATCACCATCTTCAAACAAACTAGCATCAAACAATTGATGTCAAAATTTTTTATCAAATATTTAACATTTCCAGAAAATTGCAAGCTACATTAACGACTTATTAGTAAATACTGACCTGGCAAGACAAATAGGTCCATTTAGAAATGCAAGAACAATCAAACGAATGATCACAAAGTGTACTCTGAATTCCACTAGTATCTTGGTCCAGTCTCTCTACAAGCGAAAACAACTCGTTAAGAAACTAAATCAACAAACATTATCAATCAACAATTACAGATAATACTCTACTACTCAATGCAGAATCAACCTAGACAAATGGGGCAAGTAGGCAGCTCGACATAATCAGAAGGCGAAGTGCTGGCGATTTCTCCAAATTCAGTAAACTCTATTGAAAGAACAAATAAAATGTGGCATATCTCAACCTAATCACAAAACACAACTGCATCAGTACATGATCATACACATCAATTAACAACTCACTCAATCAAATCAGAAATTGCTAACCTCGGGTGGCGAAAACCGCTTTCCATTAAAACTACGATAAAACGCATCAGCTGTAACCTGATTCCAAGTTCGAATCAACACACTGTACCTATCCTCCATACCATCATTTCTATCACCCAAAAAAAAAATCAAAATCAACCAAATACAAAATTACTCAAAACCAACAAAAATTAAACTCGAAATGAAAAAACCCAGATAATAAATTTACCTAATGATGATAAATTCGGATATATCCGCAACATGGGACCCGAAGAATCGAAGCAAATCATCAGAGGAGAAATAATTGGGAACAGCTACAATAAAGAGGAGAGTAGATCGCGAAGTGGATGCAGATGAATCGGAAGTTGAAGGATGGCGGATTAGGGCTCGGAAGAGATGAATTATGCCTCTGCGCTCGACGAATTTAGGGTTAGGGTTAAGATTATGGCTGGGGTTTGAGTTCGAAGGAAGAGAGAGAAAAAGGGGGTGTTCTGTGTCAACTGAATGAATTCGAATCGCGAACATTTTCAGATTGCTTCACCGGAGTTTGATCGGGAAAAATGGTGAGAAAGTGAAGTGATTTGCAGAGTTTGTTGGGTCTTTGCTCTCGCGGGAAAATGGCGGTTATGAGCTGAATTCTAACACCTTCCAAAATTTAAACAATATACTCCATACTATTTTTTATTTTTTTATTTTTTTTTAAGAAAATTTAGTTTTACACATTCATAAACTTTTTATTTTTATTTTTATTTCTAGTATAAAAAAAACAATCAAACCTATTGGTAAGTTGTATGTTCGGATAAGGAAATCCACACCCTCCAAGACTCAAAGTAATTTTACATAAAACGTACTTGTACTCCATATTGGTAAAAATTAACACTAGTGGCGTTGGCATAACTTTTCACCTCGGATTATTCTTCGAGGCTGAATTAGTTTGTGCAACCGTGCAAGATTCCAACTCGGTAAGCAAAAAGTCGAGTCATAAACATCAAGCCTCAAAAACCTTTACAATTTCATAAATAATGTTTTACATTGGAGTATTTTGTTATTTTTCTAGTAATTCGATAGTCTCCTTGGAGTAGGAAGTATGCCAACACTGTATAAATTCTCAATTTTTGCTGATTCTGCATTGTTCTGTATTTCAGATTTTCAGATATTTCAGTGCCTGTTGCCAATTCTTAGGACTATGAATAACAGGATCCAAGAGTAAACGAAGGCATAATAACTTTGAAATATAATATACATATAATTCATACATAGAATATCATACAACATTCACGAGGATCTTCATCAAAATTTCATAAAAAATTGCCCTCAAGCTACAAAATTTTGGTGAACAAATAAAACTCGTTTACACTAAGAGAATAAGAGATGATGGATTTGGCAAGTTCATACATATATACAAACCAAAACATCTTCTTACATGCAAATAGTGAATGACTTCAGATTTGCAATGGCAGAAAGACATTTACTACGAGCGTATTTCTTGTAGATAACGACCCACTTGCTGAGCAGCAATGTACAATGCATCTGCAGCAAGAAACAGTCCAACCTACAAAAAAATTCAGAGTATAAGCTATACATCCAAAAGAAACATACACATATTGATCAGCAGTTGCTGCCTGAAATCATACCATACGCGCAGAGAAAACTAATCGATATTGCCATCCTTCTTTAGCTGCAGCAGCTCTTTGCTGATCTGTCCAACTGAAAGAGACATCCAGGAAGATGTTGGAGTAAGAATCGATAATTTCAGAACCGTGAGTTGGGTTAGCCAGATTCACATAACCAGGTGACAATAATTCTATTGAGCAAACTACTCACCCGAGAAACTCAGAAAGGCCTCCAATTCCAGCAAATTTAAAAGGTTGTGAACCTTCCCTCTGAAGATCCTGTACAGGTACAGCACAGCATTGAGCCTTAAGTTCCCTCCATTAAAAGACCACACAAAAAAACTGAACATTTGAAAAAAAAAAAATATTGAATAAAATACCTCTTCTTCTGCCGCTTCTAGGCCTCCTTGAACCCAGAAGACATTTTGGTAGCCAGCATTACAAAGAAGCTCACAAGCAGCTAAAGATCTGCCAGCCAAATGTGCTCAGAGTGTTAGAATACACTTCATACAAATGAAATATACAGATTTGGATATGATTCTAACATCAGAATAAAACCCTGCCAAAGGGTGTCTTTCATTAGCTAAAGTGCATTTCAGGATGATAGGACAGCTTATCAAATGCATGTTGAGGAGGAACAACACGACCTAGTTATTCCAGAAAATGACCTTACTTACAATTTCGTTACATGTATTTTGCAAATAATCTATAATGCTCTATACAGTTGCTCTTCCACTTCTGTTGCCTATCACATATTGTATCACTCTTTTTCCACTTCCCATGGATCACATGGAAAAAGGTGCAAAAAATATCATTGACCACAGAATTCGTGCAGTTCAATTATTTCAGAGGCTCAGAGCAGACCTACTTTTCCTAAAATATTGAACCCTCCAAATTCCCTAAAACATAAAACACAGTTCTTTTGGAGTTAGTCAAGAGGAATTGCAAAAAATCGTAGATGATACAGATAACTAACAGTAATGGTGAATTTCATGATGAAACTGAGGCAGCACCGCAGTAATGATGATGATATCATACTACTAATAGAGGGAAGGGAATCCATATTTCAACAGTAATGGTGAATTATCTCATCCGGAAGATTGCACATATACTATTAGTATCATAGTACTAGAAAACAGTCATAGCCAAAAAGAAACTTCACACAGCAAATTTGTTGGCTTGTTTAGTCTTTGATTTACAAGAATTTGATACTAAGAAAATCACCTTAGTCCCTTCTGGCACGCAACAATAAGATCTGTATCTTTTGGGAATTTCTCTTGAACTTTGGATAAGAACTGGCTGCAAGAAAAATATGATAACAGAGATTTCCTCTTCATATAAGAAAGTGTAATTAGATTTTAGGTTGAAATTTGATGATGGTTAGGCAGGTTAGCAAACATACCTATTATAGGAAAGTGTAGGCACACCGCTCCACCATCCTCCTACATAAATTCAAAAAGATTCTGAGATATAAAGGAGCTTATCAAGATCCTTAAGATGAGTTATTTCTCTCATTCAATCTAATAGTGCACAGAAAGGTCTTGCTAATCTTATTCTGAGTAACACTTGGATGGATTATGCAATTGTCTATTTGAGGTACTGATGTACCAAAATCTCTATCTTTATAATCGAACTTTATATCAGGACAGGAAAGTATGATAGGCATCAAGAAGTACCCATCATGAAATTTGTTGCCTTTTTTGAGAGAGTCCCGGCATCAAATTTGTCATCAACGTCAAATATGGGTATCCAGACTGAACCCTTAACCCATGCCTGCAACACCGAAAAACCCATTCAATTGAAGGCTAGAAGATGATATAGGATCATAACTAACATAAAATAAAAATAAATAAACAAATAAAAAAGAAAAAAGTTGCTGCCTTTGTCAGAACTCAGAAGATGAGATTAAGGCTCATTAACAGACACTACAAAAAGTGATCAAGAAGTGTCAAGCACAAAATTTGATAACCTGTAACAACAATTATAGAGAGCAGAAAAGAGCAGAAAATTTATGTAGCCACATCACATATGTTTTGTTCTTTGAAACCATAACGTAATGCAGATATGCAATTACCATTGATAATTAATAACCAAAATTCAGATAATCCAAAAGCATATTTAATGAAGCCATGTTCTATGATAAGTAACTCTAATAACAGCAAAAAAGTAGGAAAAGCATACATGTATTCTCAAGCAAAGCAGATGGGTGTACAACGTAGATCAAGTATTCACCTTGTTCCGCTCTGATGTTGGGCGAACATCAAGTAGAGTCTTGCCGCTGAGTTGGATAGCATACCCAGCTTCCCTTGGTGTCAAAGGTTTGACTTTTCCCTCCCTCACCTATGCAAAAGAGTTTGAAAGCCTGAGGCACAATATATGGAATTCTCACTCACAACAAGAAATTTTTTCCACATCCACGACAAGAAATTGTGTACTTAGATGTGCTTACAGTGACAATTACCACAAGTTAAAACAAAATGTGGCCTCCGTATCAAAAGCACTATGAGATATTCTCAATTCAACCATACACAATCTACCAGATTACCACAAAGCTACAACTAAAAATCCCAAAATACAGTTGAAATTGCAATTTGTAGCCTTAAAGCCAAGTCACTACTAGAGATTAGAAAAACACTTCACCACCTTTAAACTATGATATCAAAATCCTATAAAAATGAGTAGCCATTTCCTTTGTTCATTTTCCTTATTTGAAGTTTACATTAATATAATGGCAACGATTACCCGGTTCGCCCGCAGCTAGATGTAACAAATGTCCAAATCAATCCTATCAGAGTATCATCTACAACATAATTCGATACTTTCCTACCATCAATCCACAATTTCAATCATTAAGCATAGATTTCTACCAGAATTTAGTAAGATTCTAATTCCCTATTATGATTTCCAATGTCCATTACAAATACCCTAAATTACTCAATGCTGTCCTAGTTAGAACAAGTTCTACCCTAACATAAAATGAAGCAAAGAAACTCAAATTTTAAACAGAAAATGAAATAAAGTATAATTAATTAATAAAAGAGAATTATACCAAAGCTTCCCATCTTTTTCTAGCAGCCGCCATATCCTTCATTTGCCTCAATTCATACTCTTCTCCCACTACTTGCATTCTGGTTACTTTCCAATTCTATCAAAAAATCAGAAAAATCAAACACCCATTTCAGAAATTTTAAACAAATCCAAATGAAAAAGAAAACCCATGAATTTGGATAGAATTTAACAGGAAATTTACAAGCTTTTTACATACCATAGTTTTGCGAAGCGGAATGAGTTGCCCAGAACTAGGCCCACTGAACTTGATAGTTTGTGTACTTCTGTAAAATTTTGTGCTGCATTTTTTGTCAAAATTTGAGGGTGGGATTTTGGGAGAGCAAAGAGGAAGAACTCCAAGAACTTCCATAGTTAATTGAATTATCTTGTACGGAGTAGAGGAATTTGCAAATTGCAATTACCAGAATTAGAATTAGGAGCGAATTTTAGAGGGAATCATCTAGATGGTTGGGGGCCTGGGCGGGTCAAAGAGGGCCAATTGACCATATTAGTATATAAGTTAACACCCTTATGACATATTGGTATATAAATTATTGTCGGCGATACATTAGTATAAAAATTAACATGTGGCAACATATTGGTATATAAATTAACAAATTGCACAAATTTTTTATTTGGTTGGCCACACCAGCCACACGGTGTGGCCAGCCACAATTTCTATTATTTTTCTTTTTAAATACCACAACTCTTCTCTCTCCTCTTTTCTTATCTTCTTTTCCAAGCCAAACCACACATCACCAACAACCATATCTCTACTTTACCCATTTTCTCTCTCCTCTTTTCTTAGCTTCATCTACAAACCAAACCACACATCACCAACAATCATATCTCTACTCCACCCATTTTCTCTCTCCTCTTTGCCAAATTGCTGCAATTAAAGCCCAAAATTGTAGAAATTGTATGTCAATTTGCTGTGAAAAATTGTGATTAATTATCCTTAAGATCATCAATAACATTTGAAGTAGAGAAATCAATGAAAACCAAAGAAATGTGAGCTCGTTTTCTTCGTGGAATCTTAAAACGAATATTCTACGTCAAAAATTGTAGGGTGTTACTAGTTTGGTCAAGAGTACTTGTAGGGTGTTACTGGTTTGGTCAGGGGTTATATGTAAGGTGTTACTGGTTTTGGCCAGGGGTTACTTGTAGGGTGTTACTGGTTTTAGTCAGAGGTTACTTGTAGGGTGTTACTGGTTTTGATCAAGGGTTACTTGTAGGGTGTTACTGGTTTGATTAGAAGTTACTTGTAGGGTGTTACTAGTTTTTCTCAAGGGTTACTTGTAGGGTGTTACCAATTTGGTTAGGGGTTACTTGTAGGGTGTTACTAGTTTTGCTCAAGGGTTACTTGTAGGGTGTTACTGGTTTGGTATGGGGCTTACAAGCAACCCTTGAGTAAGTGACAAGTAACCCTTGAATAAGTAATTCATACAAGTAACCTTTGAAGTAACTCATACAAATAACCCTTGAATAAGTAACCCATACAAGTAACCCTTGAATAAGTAACCTATACAAGTAACCCTTGAATAAGTAACTCATACAAGTAACCCATGAAAAAAAAAATACAGGTAACCCTGAAAAAAAAATACAAGTAACTCTTGAAAAAAAAAAAATAATACAAGTAACCCCTAATAAGTAATTTATACAAGTAACCCCTGAAAAAAAAAATACAAGTAACCCTTGAATAAATAAACTATACAAGTAACCCCTGAATAATACAAGTAACATCTGAATAAGTAATCCATACAAGTAACCCTTGAAAAAAATACAAGTAACCTCTGACAAAAAAAAAAAATACAAGTAACATCTGGAAAAAAAAATACAAGTAACCCTGACAAAACCAGTAACCCCGTTATACGAGTGAACATTAACCCCGTTATACGAGCATAATCCGTTATTTTTACTCACTTGGCAGCAGGCCACACCGTGTGGCCTGCTGCACCAAAAAAAAAGCTCTAAACAAATTGTGGTATTTACCCCCTATTTTTTCTTCGGATGAAAGAGCGTGTTGTATACTTCAAAAATTTGTTTTAATTACTTTTGCAATCTTATTTATTATCATAATATACTTATTCAGCACCAAATAATAATTTTTCCCTCTTCCCTTCCAATACAATAACTTTGATAAACCAATCAAACGATAAAACCCCAAAGAACTAGCTAACTTTTATTATCACTTCATTTGTATTATACCCACAACTTTGTAAATCACCAATATAATAAGAAAAAATATATATATGAGTGTTAAAAAAAAAAAAAGAAGAATCTACCCTTGTGATGCTTCAATGACCAACGCCCTCAATACATTCAAGCTTATATCCCTTTGCTCAAGCTTTCCTATTCGTTTTCCCCTAGCTTCTTCCTCATCACTTTCGGGCTTTCAACTTTTTTTTTTTTTTTTTTTGGATTTTTACTTCATAATTTTTTTAAATTAATATAAAAAGTAGAGAAAAGTACAAAAAAAATGTCAAATAAAAGTTATTAGCACTAAAATTAATCGCGTGCATCATATGCATATCCTCCGACGAGAAAATAGGGGTAAATGTCGCAATTTGTTGACTTATATACCAATATGTCGCCACATGTTAATTTTTATACCAATATGTCGCCGGCAATAACTTTTATACCAATCTGTCATAAGGGTGTTAACTTTTATACCAATATGGTCAATTGGCCGTCAAAAGAGGCATGCTTTTCGAGCTAGTGTGGGTTATTGAAGGCTAAAATGCCCAAGCTAGGGATGACAATCCAGTTCGGATCTGACCCTACTCCGCCCCGATCTGAGGAAAATAATCCACTTTGAGTCCGCATCCATTAAAATAATTCTATTTTAAGTCGGATGAGGGCCAGAGTCGAATCCTACAAAAAATCCGAGAAAAAAATTTGGCTTCGACGAGTTATTCGACTCCGACTCCGATGGCTCGTGAATTTGGGTGTGGGTAATGGTGGCGGTTGGTGTGGGTTGCAACGGCCCAAATAGCCCAAATTCTCGAATTGTATTAAATAATCGAAAAAAATAAAATCAGAGTCGAGTCGGAGGCTGGATATTGAAGTTGGATCACCGCATTCGGATGACATAGTCAAATTCGGAGTTAAATTTGCCTCCGACTTCTTGTAGGGTCGGATTCAGATTTAGCATTTTCTGCTCTGAGTTCGACCTGTTGCCATCCCTAGCCCTAGTCGTATCAGGCAGGATCGACGAAAAAGTTTCTATTCATAATGACTTGTGCTCTATTATTACAACATTTCCCTATTTGTACATGTTATCTTTCTTTCGCTCTTCTCATCACACGAGCCCTTATCTTTATTTCTCTCTTTTTCCTCTCCTTATCACATGAATCCTTATCTTTATTCACTTTATCTCCTCTCTTCTTAAAATCCGTCTTTCTCACCTATGTGCTATGTTGCAAAATTAGGAAAGCGGAAGAAGTATGAGATATTATATATAAAAATTATAGGAATTGAAATGAGAACTTATGGTTAATCAAAATGAGAATCGGAGCTTGTTGTAACAAGTTTTTGGAAATAAAGAACGAAGTGATTATGATAATAATAAACGGATAAAGCCATACAAGATACGGAGTATAACATACTGTAGACACGGAAATTTTATGAGTGTCATACATTAAATTAAATAAATTAATTTGGGTTAAATTCATATGAATAATCCATTTTAATTATTTTTGGCCCACCCAAATAAATAATTCGAATTAATCAAATACAATTCAGATTATAAAATAAATTAAATGGACCAGGTCAAAAAGGCTTCTAAATCATAAAATGGGTCAGGCCCCAAACCTACTAAGTCCACTCAAGGGGTTCTTATCTCCTATAAATACACCATTCCTCCATCAGTTGAGGGGATCCAGAAATCATTATTCCAAGAACTCATAAAACTCAAACGGAATTCTCTCTGAAGTAAGTCAACAAGCATATCAAACTCGTGTCGACTTGTTCAGATACACTCAAACACATTTGAACGGGACTAAGCTTCAAAGCCCTCGTTCAGGTGTATTCAAACAAAACCCTTAAATACAGGTTGACATCATCAAATGTCACCCTGCATTCAAACTCAAGTCGACGTCATCAAACGTCAACCTACAGGTGTCACACACGTGTCATCATCAAGCTGCGGAACATAATCAGAGGACTTAGTTTATTTTATTATAAACTATTATACAGAAATTGTACCCAAAATTCATATATTAATATAAATTCATTTGTTACTTTATTTTCCGTCTTTATTTATTTAGACTCGAAATTTGTGTAAAGACAATGAAGTATTACCCATACTAAAGTCAAAGGCCGGGTTGATTGTACATAAAAACTAAATGTCAAGTCATATCCGATCCATTATTGTGATTGATTCATGGAGCCTACAAAGATTTAGTTTATCTTAACATTTAATTAATACATCACAAAAAAAAAAAAGGAAAAAAAGAATTAACTTGATCAGTAACAATAAGTTCCAATCATTTTTTTTTTTGAAATAAATAAATAAGGTGTAATAAGTTTTAATAAGTTCAATCAAGTTTAATAAGTTCAATAATCTATTCAAATAAGTTCCTATCAAATTCAATAAATTCGAGTAAGTTTAGGTTTAATTAGGTGAAGTGAATACGTTACTAATTGACTTTCAAATATAAGATTACGCTAGGTTTCAATTGGAGTTGTAATTGTAATTGGTTAGTTAAATACTCAACAAAATCACCTGTTTGTTCCACTTGCAATATTCCAAGTAATGCATTTATTTTGGTATTCCATTAATCCATGTAATACAAATAGAATTTCTTTCCCTTTGTCAATAAAATAAAATTAAATAAAATTTTCTTAAAATTTCTCACAATTTCAATTTATACATTTTTTTTTTTGGAATGAATAGATGAACTATCACCTTCAAACAATAAATTGGTTGTATACTTGTATGGTTGCATGTTCAATACTTCCAAAGTTAGTTAACGATTTTCGAAACGATAAGAGATTTATTTATCCATGACACGTTGACACATAGGATACGTGGATATAAAGAGAAGGTTTTGCGTAGAACGGATTTACGTGAGATCGGACTCAGCAACAAAAAGGCGTGAGTATGAGAAACCCGATGATAAAAACTATCTTATTTCTGACTAAAATAGCCTTATTCCTGACTAACATTTTTATTTTGTTTTATGATAATCCTGATAAAAAAATTCTTATTTCTGACTAAAATTTTCTAAATCTTGACAAATATTTAACCAATTAATATTAATCTAATACCAAACAATAACAATCAAATGCCAAACAATAAACATCTAATACCTGACATTATTTTCTCCTTCACCAATAACCTCCTTCTTCTTCCATGACTACAATATTTTCTCTCTCCTCAACCTTGCACCAACTGAACTGAAACCACCACCCCATCACCCTACCTTAACTGCGACCACCACCCACCTTAATTAAAATAGCTAGATTTTCAGCGACCAAGATTCAACGCATTTCTGGGTCAAGTCGAAGTGGGGGACGAGGTGAGCGATTATGGTCAAGGTCGAGGTCAAGGTCGGGTGGGTGTTTCTAGTTAGAGCCGAGGTCAAAGTCGGGTGGGTATTTTTGGTCAAGGGCGAGGTGGGTGTTTGTGAGTTGGTGTCGAGGTGTGAGTTTCTGGGTTAAGGTCGGGGTAGGTTGGCTGCGGGAGATCATGGTGGCGGCAGACTCACGGTGAGTCCGTCTCACCCAAAACTTTACCGGATATGAATAAAGTATTTAACACGAGAAACTTAATACTCCCTCCGTCCCCTTTTGATATTCCCTTATGGACAACTTTTAGTCCCAAAATATTTATCCCATTTGCTTTTTTCAACAACTATTAATATTAATTTTTTTACCAAAATTCCGTCCAATTTGGAACAATATTTGTGCAAATTGAAATTTTTCATGTAAATTTTGTTTTCCCACTTTTATTACTTTCTCTCTCTGCTTTTTTTGCATAACTTATGTCAATTTATTTTTTCAATGTACTAACTATTCTTTTTTGTGTTTATTAATTCCCCTGAAAAATGCCCATAAGGGATTAACAAAAGGGGACGGAGGGAGTAGTAGACTTATTTCTAAACTACTAGTTTGTTGCCGGGCGTTACTATGGGTGTTATTTTGAATACGAGTTTAGTTTTATTTAGTTTTATTTTATTTTATTTATTCAAGAGCTTGAAATAAAGACTTGTTAATTTATTAATTTATTGTCATTAAATTATAATAATACAACAATAAATTATTTTGGATCACTTATACATTTATATAAGATTCTAATGTCAATCAATCAATTAATATATATATTAAAACTCATGGCAAGACATGATGTTTTGCCATGTGTCAACAATTTGCCATTTGGCATATGAATATATGATGTGTCGTCGCCAAATCATACCATAACATTAATTACTGAAAAACTCTATGCATTAACTTTCATGTATTAATATTAAGCTTAATTGATAAACTCTTCATATGCATGACAATTTCCCTTATACTGTAAGTCCTTAATAATTACATAATAATAAAGTTAGTAAGGAATTAAACATTACTCCATTTTTATTTTGTGCATTAACTCATAAAATTGTAATCATAGATTAAAAGATTTTTGTGCATTATGGAGTAGTATATATTTTGACATCAAATTTATAAAGATTTGATTTATAATATTTTTATGATTTTAATGTAAAAAAATTATTCTTATAATCGAACCAACTCATACAAGCAACAAACTATTTAAGCTATATATATACATATATATATATATATATATATATATATATATATATATATATATAAACCACTTAAGCTCTCAATGACAAACAAGTCAAAATATATATAGTTCGATTAAAGTATAAAATTTATAATGACCCGGGGCATCGCTCGGGCCAGTAACTAGTTTATTTATATATTTATGTAGATGTATAGAACATGATTTGGTTGTATCTAAGATGATAATAAATGTGGTATTTATTCATTGAGATTTAGGATATGTTCTCCTCAACTTATTTTCAGTTCAGTTCAGTTCAGGTCTAATTTATCTCAGTTTAGAACTAGCCCTTAGTGTTCAAACCTCATTTGCATATTTTAGTACAGAGGTCAAACCAAAATAAAGGCAAGGAAATTTCCAATAACTTCAAGCTTCAACGTTTTTTTTTGTATTGAGATAGGAACATATATTGTGATATGATATTATGAGAATAATATCATACGAGATATTATTGTGAAAAGATATATGTGAGTTATTGTGATAGATTTAGGAAGTTAAGATATATTGCAATATTAGGGTTAAATATCCATGTTGTCTATATATATTGTAATGTGACCGAATATAATAGATGAAAAAATACAAATAACTACTGTATTTTCATAATTTGCCTCTAATTTAACTTATTGCGTTTTTCTTTCCTGCTCACAAGTTATCTTTGACTTTACATTCCATTATTTCCATATCTGCCAACTTCAAGTTGTCAACCTGTCAAGTTGTGTTCCAAAAGACATTTCATTTGGTGAAAAGCGATAATAAGTAAATAACACTATTCTACCATAGTACCAGACCACCACCTTATTAACCTACATATAGTATAATACGAAGTATCTATAATTGCATCATGATATGTGCGTAAATTTCTCATGTTAATTATTTGCCAAAACAAACAAAAAAAAAATATATAAATAAAAGTAAATGATAGATCTATGATTGCACCATGACAAATTTATAACATACTATTCCAAATTTATTTTGCTACACCATACCGTTGTCCTTATACAAAATAAAGTTATATACAGTCTATACAGACGTACACGTATTCAATTTTGTTCCTTCCATTAGTTACAACTTTATATACATATTTCACTAGTTAGAAATTTCCACACACATATATATTGATCTGCCTTAGCTTTAAAGGGTTATATAAATCCATCTACTACTATTGCTAACATTATTGATAGAAAACATGGATTTTAGGCTATTATTTTGGTATACACTCATGTTTACCATGCCCATAATATTGTTGATATCATTGTATAAACCCCAAAAAAGAAGAATGAACCAACAAAAAAAGATCCCTAGCCCAAGAAAGCTACCAATTTTAGGGAACCTTCACCAATTATTTGGTGATTTACCTCATTATTCTCTTCACAATCTTGCCAAAGAACATGGCCCTCTTATGCTCCTACAATTAGGCTCAATCCCAACTCTAGTGATTTCCTCCGCGAACATAGCTAGAGAAATCTTCAAGCCACACGATCTAATTTTCTCCGGTAGGCCAGAGCTATACACCGCGAAAAGACTAAGTTACGAATTAAATGACATCTCATTTGCTCCGTATGGTGAGTATTGGAGAGAAGTTCGGAAGATAGCCATCCTGGAGCTACTTAGTGCTAAACGAGTGAACTCGTTTAGCACAATACGAAATGAGGAGGTAAACATCGTGATTAATACAATTATTCGATCCTTTTCGAGTAATACAACTATTAATCTTAGCGAGTTGATGCTATCTCTAGCGAATAATGTTATATGTCGCGTAGCATACGGTAAGAAATTCGATGGTGAGGCTAAAAGTTATGAGATATTGAAGGAAACACAAACATTATTAGGAGAGCTAAATGTAGCGGATTTTTATCCTTGGTTTGGTTGGTTGCTAAATAAAGTAAATGGGGTTGATACTAGATTAGAGAAGAATTTTAAGGAGATGGATGAGTTTTATGATGAAGTTATCCAAGAACATATTAATGGTAGTAAAACGACGCGTAGAGAAGGTGAACATCATGAAGATTTTGTTGATGTACTTCTTCAACTTCAAAAAGATCCAAATCAAACAGTCAAACTCAGTGATATTCAAATCAAGGGTATTATTACGGTACGTCACTTAGCTACTACTCCGTTGTCTATTTATGCATATTGATTTTGGTTTAATTTTATACTTTTATTAGCTTAATTTTTGTTTTTTTTTTAAAAAAAAATATATTTAGTAAAGACTTTAATTAAGCCTCTAATTTAAAAAAGAGTTTAGCTTATTACTTTAATTATCTTCTTAATTGTAGATATTTAGTTTTACAAGCTCATAGAAGATTTCATATTAAAGCTAATGACAATAAAACGTAATTTAGTTCAGCTTAAGTTCAGTTTAGTTCTGTTCAACTCCTAATTTCTTTCTCTCATTAATATTCATTTCATCTCTATTCAGTTCAGTTCAACTCAATTAATTTAGTTCAGTCTAGTTTAACTCAGTTCAGTAAATATGAACAAGCTCTTCCTGTTCTTTTTTTTTTTTTATTATTATTTTTTTTATTATTTTTTTCTAATGTAGAACTATTCATATGTAATTAGTCGTCCGTTAATTATCATGAGTAGTTTGAAAAAAAAAAAAACTTGAAGAAAGATAAGTAGTCTGGCTAATCTATTGCTAGTTTGGTCTCGCCGCCTAACATGAAAGTTGATCGATATAGTAGTAGAAGTGCGACTTTGCCTCTAAACCGAAAATAGAAATAAATAAATAAATAAACACTAGAGCAACTAGCATTGAGAAATTGCGTTTAGTAAACATCATCTCATTGACATTTTGAACATAATTTTGCCCAAAATTGTTAAATTATACGGTTGATTTTAACCAAAACATGTTTACATATAATTTATATTATCAGGTTATCCAGCAACTGCTCGTAATATAGACATATAGTATGTTAAGTTTTTTATGTGAACATTTGCACCAAAACTCCTTGGAAATTGACTACTATACTAGATCCGATTCATATTATTTGCAACAAGTGAATTTGTTTCTCACAAATAATAATAATTCTTTGTTACAAATAATAAGAAACGGATGTAGCTAGTAAAATAGATCAGTTGTTTATACTTTTCGAAAACAAAATGCAGGACATGTTCATAGCAGGGTCAGATACATCTGCGGCAACACTTGTATGGATAATGACAGAGTTAATAAAGAATCCATCAACCATGAAAAAAGCACAAGATGAGTTAAAAGAAGTTGTCAAGGGCAAACAAAGAGTTGAAGAAAGTGATCTACATAAACTTGCATACTTAAAATTGGTCATAAAAGAGACATTAAGGTTACACCCTCCAGTACCACTACTAGTCCCTAGGGAAACAACAGCACCATGCACTATTATAGGAGGGTATGAAATACCAGCAAAAACAAGAGTACTTATCAATGCAAAGGCAATTGCAATGGACCCTAACGTGTGGCACACACCCAATCCAAATGTGTTCGAGCCAGAGAGGTTTTTGAATAGCTCGATTGACTATAAAGGCCTAGATTTCGAGTTGATCCCATTTGGTGTTGGTCGGAGGGGGTGCCCTGGGCTTGGTTTCGCGGTTTTGTTGATTGAGCTTGCACTTGCTAACCTTTTGTATTGTTTTGATTGGAGTTTGCCTAAGGAGATGACAAGAGATGATATTGATATTGTAGAAGCTGTTGGACTTACCACGCATAAGAAGATTCCTCTTTGTTTGTTAGCTGCCCCTAGGTCCTTGTAACACAAAATTTGTTGCTTGATCTTTCAAATTAACAGTTTTTCTGTTATTCAATTTGGATGAAGTGATGATATAAGAGAGGAGGTGAATTGTATTAGAAACTACATGGTATTTCCTCTGTTTATTTATTTATGTTTTTCATAATTACTCGGTTTCTTTAGTTATGTTTGTGATGTGTGTCAATGCATAGTTAATATGAAGTATATTATAAGCATTTGATTGTAATAAAACTTTTGATACAAATCTTACAGATGCTCATAAATATACGTCGGTAAAGGTTGTACATACCATATTATCATATTCTATCACATATAAAATATCTTATTGACTTATTACATCACTAGCTCAAATCTATTTACCTTTAATCATACAAAATTCTTTGTATTTTTATTCAACTAAACTCTACTATCTTGTTTGTTTTATAATCATCTATAGTCAAATAAAGCTTCACATTTAATAATCAATCAAACATCATTATGTTATTTCCAATTCAAAATTTTAGAAACGGGTGTTAAAATAAAAACAAATTTGAGACAAAGTTAAAAAAAAATTAAAACATAGTTACAACTTATGAGCTTCAGTTAATGAACTGAAATATTACATTGACAAGGGTGAAATGAGATATGTTGCAATTGAAAAACAAACTTTATAAGTATAAAATAATATATATTTTCTTAGATGATTAGAGTGCCCTAAGGGCAGAGATCTGATGAGAATCGACCCAAAATTCCATTGAATCTAGATAGACAAGAGCTCTAACCAATTGACTGAATTGAGCTATCCCCTCTAATAATGTTGTTATGGAAAAATGTATTTGTACCTTTGATTTTAGATGTTCTTCCTATATACGAAGTATATATAATGTGAATGCATTATAAGAGTTAGTGTAATAAATTGAGCGATTGGGTAATGTGTACTAAGCTGTACTGTGTGGATTAAAGGTCATAAATTAAATTCACCAAAGCATTATGTATCATACGCTCATTGTTCAAGCCATAGTCTCAAATAGGTCTATGAAGTTGAACTTGTACGTTTGAAATTATATCTCTGTACATATGTGTTTATTTTATAATTTGTGTGTATCATAACGATTGTATGATTGATCGTATCTTTTTAACTTGTGCAAAACAGTGTATTGAAAGTAATTTAAATAAAGGAAGAAAGCAACATACGAGCGTTGCTACAATGCTACTATGTACTCGTATATATAATTATATATATTAATATTGACTCCAAATCCAAGATAGTAGCAAAAACCAAAATTACGTTGTCCCATTTTTTTTTTTTTTTTATGTTGTTTACTTGTATATATATTCATGTACCCGAGTAGTCACAAACTCACAATATAAATGCTACCAACTTTGTTTCACTTGTATGTGCAAAAAGATGTCATTCCTTGGTTATTTAATCACCAATTTGTCACCCTTAATCGCTGGCACTCATAATTAATAAAGATTATGCATGCGATCGATCTTTTAGGATAATACACATGAGCATGTGTTTTGCGTCGCAACATTTCAGCAATACTTCTTCCTCATTTAAAGAAAACAAGCCTAATCAATTGGCCCCTCTTGATTGCATGACCTCCTAAAAATTATGCATAGTTTTCTAAGTATATAAACACTGCTAACGAATTCAGTATACTTAACTTTCTACTCACACTTCAAACACGCACTCAAGTCTGTTTGTCACTGACTCTTTCATTTCTCATGGCACAAAAATTTATAACATTCTTAGCAATAATTTTTATTACATTATTTTCCCTTTCAATTCACCCATGTATTAGCATTAGAGTTACCAATCCAATAGGAAAACAAGGAGAATGGCAACTTCTAAGGGACAATGTTGGGGTGGTAGCCATGCACATGGCTTTAACCCATATGAACACCATCTTAATATTCGATCAAACCGGGACCGGACCCTCGGCGTACCTCCTTAGCCACCGATCACACGGTGGAGAATGCCACCAAAACCATGCCAATGACTTAAGGGACTCCTCATGCTTTGCTCACTCAGTAGAGTATCACATAGATACCAACTCATTAAGACCATTGAAAATCGAGTCCGACCCGTTTTGCTCCTCGGGCTCGTTCCTAAGCAACGGGACTCTCCTTCAAACGGGTGGGTACGCAAACGGGTACAAGAAGATCCGACAGTTTGAGCCTTGTGGTGATGGTAGATGCGATTGGAGGCTTTCGAAGGCGAAGCTAGCAAAGAATCGATGGTATGCTTCAAATCAATTATTACCTGGTGAAAAGGAAAGAGTTATAGTAGTAGGAGGTAAAAATGTTTTCTCCTATGAATTTGTTCCAAGAAAATCTTCTGGATTAGCTTCATATACTCTACCTTTTCTACACAATACTTATAATAGATCTGAAGGAGGTAATAATCTCTACCCTTTCCTTCATCTTTCCTCGGATGGTCATCTATTTATCTTTGCAAATCGAGACTCGATTTTGTTCAACTATAGGCTTGATCGTGTGGTCAAGACCTACCCGCGGATGCCTGGTGGAGGATCCAGGAGCTACCCTAGCTCCGGATCCTCGGTCATCCTACCACTAGACCACCGCGATGGGTTTCAAAAAGTCGTGGTTATGATCTGTGGGGGTGCAGCCGAGGGAGCCTACACTGCAGCACGCGGAGGGCAGTACTTGGAAGGGTTAAAGAGTTGTGGAAGAATGGAAATAACAGGACATAAAAATAAGTGGTTTATGGAGGATATGCCTCATCCTCGGCTTTTAATGGACATGGTGATCCTCCCTACCGGACATGTCTTATTGATTAATGGCGCGCAAGCCGGGGCTGGAGGGTGGAACAATGCTGACCGCCCTGCACACAACCCGTTCCTCTATAGGCCTAAGAAGCCTTTAGGCAAGAGGTTTTTGGTTCTCCAAGAAACAAATGTAGCGCGAATGTATCATTCTTCGGCCATTCTTTTGCCTGATGGGAGGGTACTAATTGGAGGGAGTAACCCTAATGAAAGGTATGTGTACCACAATGTACGGTACCCTACGGAGCTTAAGTTACAAGCCTTTGCTCCACAATATACCGATCATAGGTTTCACTCGGTAAGGCCTAGTAACATTTCTATAGCGAGTAGGAATCAATTTCATCGCGGTAATAACAATTTCAAGGAGAGTAAGAGTGGTAAAAATCAACACTTAAGGCCTAGTAACACATCTAAAAAACATAGCAACATTGGAGTACACCACGTAAGTAGACCGCCTAGTAACACTAATCTTGGAGGACGCATCATAAGTACGCGTCCTAGAAGCATGTCTAGAGAGAAAGGCCACGGGTTCCACCCTACAAAGTCTCGTACGAGTTCCATAAATAATAATGTGTATAATGGTAATGAGACTGTTAACATAAGGTACGGAGAGAAGTTTCATGTAACGTTTTGGCTAGGGAGAAAGTTGAATGATAAGGTGGAATTTAACGCGTATGCACCTCCTTTTACAACACATTCAGTTTCAATGAACCAAAGGCTTTTAAAGTTAAAAAGCTCGAAAGTTTTGGAAGATGACGGTGGGTGGGTTGATGCCGTGGTTGAAGCACCCCCTTCGGCGAATGTTGCACCATCCGGGTATTACATGCTCTTTCTTGTCAATGGAGGGATTCCTAGCACAGCTCAATGGATTAGGTTTGTACATGCTTGATAGGATTATATGAAGCAATACAAATAAGAAAATTATTAATAGTTGTAGTATTGTATTGAAATTTAATTTGTTAGAATAAAAAGTTTTAACACAAAGGACTGATTATCTCTATTTTGTACTTAATAAAAAGAAGGTAACTTGGCTTATTTGATGCATTATTATAAAATCATGACATGCCATATATACATTTATGGTAAAGAAAAATCAAAGCCTACATAATTTCAATAGATATAGATATTACAACGTACCAAAAAGTTCAATAGCCTTAAAATGGCTGTTATAAAAAAAACATAATTGACAAATCACTCGGCTTACTTGAAATTTTTCAAGTCTTCTTCCAATGTACACTGGTACCCTGTGCAAGCGCGACACAAGCACCCCGTGTAACACTCCATGGAAAGGCGATAATTTGGTATCAGCCATAGCTGGAGAGGGTGTAGAACCAACTACTAGACCAACGCGGACTACTGTATGTATAACTTATGTAATTCAATATTATTATTGATCCGCAAAAAAATGGTAGCTTCTAACATTGTTTATTATTAATCTGAATGAAGATATTGTAGTTGCCACTGCAACTAAAGAAAATATGAAAATGATAGTCCAATGCCATGCCTTTTGTCCAATCCTAGCCGATTTTCCCTTAACCTGTACCATTAATTTAGAGTACAATAACATTTAATTTATCAAAGAAATAAAAATAATGTGTTAACATTATGAACACAATTTACATTATAAGGGCCTAAAATTTAAATAATTACCTTGATGAAGATCATACTCGGAAATATAAATGTTAATGTAACAAGTGTGAATGATCCCAAGAGGTTTATGAAATATCCCATGAAAGGTAATGCTGCTGCCACCACAGTAGTTCCGGTGAAGAGAATTGCTCGTAGGAGGAACCGCCTTTTCAAATTCTCTTTCGAGTATACACCCTCCTCTGCTTTCAAAAATCTGGTATCTAAGGCCTCATGAACTGGTTGGAAAAACATCTGAAAATGTATGTATGCAATAATAATATAAAGTTTGTTATGACTTAATTTAGATTATTAGCTTAAGTGAATTCTTATAGATAGACGCGATAATATAAATTGTACATACATGTTGTGAGATGACATTAGTAAGAAATACAGCAGAGTTGATCAGGATTTTCGCCCATTTAGGCCCGCTTAGTGCCTTAGGGAGATAATCCGGCACATCCGAACCGTAAGCCCAATATCCAACTAGAGCAACACCATTATATCCCATGACACCTAGAGTAAATTGTGCATACACTGCTTTTCTCATGTTTTTGACAACCGGCTTCCGTAGGGTAGACTGCACCGTGTACAAATAAACACCAAAATGATCATTATTTTAGCTATTTTAAATAACGTTTTCGTCGTCTAGGACTTCATTTGATTTGTATGATTAGTAAATATTATGATTGTCCCTTTAAAAATTATGAGGAGAAGTTTAGACCTGTAATTCAGGTAACAAGCCCGAATTGTTGCTTAGTACGATGGTTGATATCGCACCTACGGCATTGAACACCTTATTGATTGTGCTTCCCTTCACTTCGTAGTCTCTATGTTTATTAGATTTTCCTATAAGAGTGTATACATTAATAACTTGTCTTGAAATACGCATTTAGGGAGTAAATTAAAATTAGTCACGTGTGTACGTGTGCACAAACACATTCCTTGCTAGGTCAAGTAACAAGTAAGACACAAAACGCGCACCTTTTTGGTATGTTAATGTTATATATTAATATATGCACATAGAGTTGTGACAATTTTTACGTGTTTATGCAGATGCAATTTTACAAATTTGACAGCATACCATCACAGACTGCTGCTACGAGAATGACTCCGATGTAAGTGAAAGTGAGGATTGTTGCGGCTCCTAACCAAATTCTCAGGGCAGAGAGGTTTGGTACGGTAAAAGAAAAGAGGAAGTAAACTATTGCTGTGATTATGATGAAACACTGGAGCCTCATTGTTGTGTCACTAAACACCAAATTTATTTCCTGTTGAATGAAAAACCATTGTTAGAGAATTCAATAATGGATAAATTGAAAAAAAGAATTCATCATGATTAACATATAATAATATTGGTGATAACTATTGTCTTGCATCAACAAACTAAAAAGATACATCGAGATGTTTGGTTGGAAAGTGAATATTAAAAAAAGATGAATACTGGGATTTCATTAATCAAAAGTAATCCCTATAACACTCACCCAGTGACCCCTTTAATACTGACCAAGTAACTCCTAAGTAACACCTATAAAGCTGAACAAGTAACGCCCTTGGACCTTTTGCTAAAATATAACAATACTTAACCACTATACCATAACTTTTTAAGTGTAATTATTATTCATTATATTAGTTAAAACCAATAACTTAGAAAAATTAAGGGGGTCGTGCCCCGACCAGCCACAAAGAAGGTCCGCCCCTGAAAGTAATCATTATGAATTTATGATGGATGGTCACACCGTGTGGCCAGCCACATATAAGACTTTGTGATAAATCTAGCCCGGCCTTGAGCGTAGGTAGGGAGTGCAATGGCCTACGCCGATGACCGGAAGGAGGGGGGGGGGATGTGATCTAGTTTTCAGTTGAGTAAAAAATTAATTCATGTCGTTTTCCGTGGGAAGTAATGCGTAGCTTTTTGAATTTTCGTTCTCCAACAATCGTTCAATTTCAGGGTACAACAACTCATACAAGCATTAATCAAGACGCCAATGACATGTCATTAACACAAAGAGCCAATTGATGAACAAATACAAGCTTTACTTTTCTGATAATAAACAATAACTACGAGTATCTACTACTTGAAGCTTTTAATAATCAAATTGATGAGCAGAACACTATGCTTGCTAGCATACCCCACCTCAATTTTTTTTTTTTTTTTTTTTTTTTTTTTTTTTTTTTTGTGATGAGCAATTGTAAATTTTGTTGTTAAACCATAAAATAAATAAATGTTTTTCAAAAATGGTTATCATGAAATAATTTTTATTAATCAATTAAAAATTTATATTACTAAAAGAATATACACAAAGTTTCATATGTGGTTGGGATAAGGGGTTTTTTAGTCAGTCAGGAGTTACTCGGTCAATATTTTAGTGTGTGTGTTAGACGGCTACACGGTTTGGTCAGCTGCATAAAAAACACGCCGAAGAAAATATACCGTGCAGTGATATATTTTTATGTAGTATAAAAAATCTTAAGGTCCCAAATCTATTGTTTTTCCTATGGCTCATATAATCTTAAGATGGGCCTTGATTAAGTAATAGTGTATAAAAAAGAATAGTAAGGGACTAAGGGCCTATTTTCTTTAGATTATTTTCACTTCAGTTCAGTTCTTAATTTCATTCTCTCATAAAATATTCAGTTCAGCTCAGCTCCAATATCAATTCAATCAATTAGAATAGGCCCTAAGGGTTAAATGATAATTAAAAAGTTAATATTTATTTTGAAATAAAGATTTTGAGTGAAAATAAGATTTTTTTATTTAGGGACAGATAACCCATAAGTTGCCAGAAATGCATCACAGCCAAAGAGGAGTGATTCTTCATAAATCCCGTGGTTAATGGTGGATAGTTATTAGCATCTGCAATGCATGTGTTTTCTTAATTCATTGTAGTAGGTCATGACCCCATGTTCTCTACTCACACGCTACTCTTAAATCTTAATTGTAAGGTGACCTAATAAATACGGAGTATATATTACATTACTACTACAAAGAGAACTGGTGTAGACCTGTCTATTCGGGTTAACGGGTAGGGTTCTGGTTAAATTTCGGGTTGTTTGGGTCATTTGGTTCAACTAGTTTGGACTACTTGGATCATTATTAATCATGATAAATGGGCTAAATTGGGTCAATTTTGGGTCATTTGGGTCGGGTCGGGTTTTTTCTCAATAAAGTGGACTTGGAATTGGGACGTTCAGAAATTGACAGGTCTAGGACTAGGTGCAGTAGCTTAATTATTTATAAATTTAAAGCAACACAAAGATATGCAATTAGCAACAAATCGTATAAGGATCTTATCTACGCATTAATCTGCTAACTTTTAGTTTTTTATATTTTTAAAACATTTAGTTAGATCAGAGCCGCCAACTATATACTTTGTCAATCAATAATTAATATTAAAAATCATAAAAAATGCTTCATATTTTCTAGAATGTCCGGAAATAAATTGTTCGCTACATTCTCTAGACAACACAGAGGTTAGATGTAAGTAATAAAATTGTACCTTAAGTGATCTGCCTCCTAGCAGGATGAAACCCATGTTTGCCAAAATAAAGGTTGAAAATTGGAGAAAACATGTAACATAGTACATATGTTTCCCTGCACAACTAACCAAATATAAATAAAACACTTGAAAAATACAGTTTATACTTATAGTTTTTTTGAGCAAACTAACCAAATAGATGCCCCATGATGTCTCTGTATCTAATGAATCTTTGGCCTTGTATGAAATGAAACCCTGCCAATAGCCAGTTCGCATAGCCACTGGCTAACCCGATCAGAACTAACACGACGATACCCCATGTCCAACCTAGGGGTACCATCATAAGATTTGAAAAGGATAGTATCCATCCACAATTGAACCCCGTTATGAGCAACAAACTAACTTGTTGCCATGAATCTGCATTTTTTTGCATGACAAAATTGTCTTAGAAAAAAACAGAGGAATTTTTACCTAGTGATGCAAGTCTAAGCATTAATTAGGAGTAGATTTGTAAAAATATCGAAGGGGAGAATTTGCACGACGAATATAAGAAATGGGATGACAAACAACTAACCTAAAAGTTTAAAGTCGATTTTTAAAGGTGATTTTTCACAAATTTTCCTTTGCTTATATTTGAAGCTACAGTTTTTTGTATGTACTAACATAGAGCTTAAATAAAAGTATAATAGAGCAATGGTAGATTTCCCTTAGACATTACCTCTCAACTACCATAACCACCTTAGATATACCATAACCACCTTAGATGTATACAAGTATTACGTATTTACATACGACGACAACCACAAGGTCCAAAATCACGTCTTGTAGTGGTTGTGCCACCATAAACAACACATATTACCATAACCATCCTTAGTTAATAACTTAATACTCGTACTTGTATAATATATGGAAACGCCACGTACGTTCATCATCCTTAGTTAATTACGTATATTATTATTAACCATGCATGATCGATATAGTCTATGATAATTAACTAAGAAGAGTAAAACTAACCATTGCCAATAGCATGAGCCGAAGTTGGATCAGCTTCTTTCAAGACTTGTTCATCTTTAACGGAGCTTGTTTCTATATTTAAACCTTGTAAATAATTAACTCTGCCTTCTGTTATAATTGTGGACTCCATGTATTTTTGTTTGTTTACAAAGCAAATGCTACTATTCTACTATTTTCTTGCTTCTTTATAAGATTTTATTTTATTTTTTATTTTTTTATTTTTTTTTGGTTTTTTGGTATAATGATTTATAAGAACGGTACGTTATCTATAGCTATTGCTTCTTTGAGCATATTTCAACTTTATAATTATTATTTAATGCTTACAAGGACATGTAGTGTGAATTAGTGGTCATGCGCATTAAACATATCATGAAATTTCAGAATATTTAATTGGTCTGATATGATCCTAGCTACTAGTTGGGAACATTGAGGTCCATTTGATAAAATCCTTTTATCCTGACAAAGTATTAAATCAATTAAAAGATTAAGCTAATAATTCGAGTCACATAATTGATTGATTTTATAATTTATCACGTCTCCTCATATAAAATTTTGGGTCAATATATTATGTCAAAGATTCAACTCAAGTTTAAGTATATAAGCTAATTAATGTAATGGTTAGATTCTTAGAATTGGTTTTATGCTCTATTTTTCTCTACCCTCTAATATCTCTAAGGTTTATGTAAATTATTAACTTTTTAAAAAAAGATTTGAATATTCTGACCCTCAAACTTTTATGTTATAGATTTTTATGATTTTGTTATTGAAACTACGTCGTTTGTTGAGTAAAATGAGTGTGTCCGATTGGTAGAATTAGTTTTAGTTAAGTTGTTTAATTTGAGTTTCGTCCAATATAAATTATTAGAAGATTTATTACGAATAAAATATATGTAAATTTATCAACTACACTGAAATGAGAATCATTTCTACGACTGTAAGGCCTACAATAGATTTATACAGTCCCTCGTGAAACTAGGAATGATGTATATATTACTGTGATATGAAAAAGGGCCGCATAAGATATGTTCGAATTGCAATGAAAGAAGTTTTGCTCAAAATTATATACAAGATTACAAGTATCACTAAATTCAATTCGATATGTATGTTTGATTATTATAACAGTTAATCAATCTTGCAACAACTAATTGTTTTTCTTAGGAAAAGGAATTGCTAGATGGTGGATCACATGCATACATTGTTTTCCATGTAGGTCCATCTTTGAATTCCTAATCTAATTATCAATTTTTAGGTGGGGAACTAGACCATGTATGTTGTATGTATGTTGACAAGTTGATGCTCTTGGTTAAGATCTTATATTACGAATAACACTTGAGGCATATTCATCGAAGATATTTAATACTGGTTACACCACATCGTTGGACCAAGCGATTTGGTCTATTAATCTAATACAAACTCTTAAATATACATGGTTTACATTAGTTTATGGTGAACCACTTATATTAGAGTCACCACGGTCATTTTCTTAGTAAAAATAAAGGATACCATGTTAAAATAAAAGTTACTCTGTTAAATAAAATAAAAGTTGCTATGTTAAAATAAATGAAAATTAAATTCTACCGTGGTCGTTTGAAATATGACTGTCATAATTATGTACTAGATGTAAGCCCGTGCGATGCACGGTTCTAGTATATCATTCTATTTAATTAAAAATTTGTATATTTATGAAGATCATTCATTAGATATATGGATAAAATTCCTAATATCATAAGATAATTTTAATTTTAACACTAAAGTTATCTTTTGTTGTTTTATTTATTTTACGTGACGCTTGAATTTAAAATTCCAAATCTTATTCACTAATTTGCTTATGTGACAATATAAATTTTTAATTCAAAAAAAGAAATGACAAATCTCGTTTTTTATTGATCAAAATAAGTCTTTTGCCTATGCGTTTAATTAATATGCTCGTTCTGTTTAAAATGTTAGTCTCATTTATAATCGGTTAACTATTAAAAATTATGGGAAATCAGTCATATAAGATTTAGTTTTATTCATCTTGATGAGTACATTATTAAAATTGAACTTTTATAATATTTGTTAGAGAGGGATTAAAGATACGTAGAATTTTCCGTCAAAAATTTGCATCCATATGTGTAAAAAGATATTACTTAGTTTTTAATTATTCTCTATTCGTAAAATCAAACTTTTACAATATTTTCTAGAGAGAGATTAAAGATATTTGCGATTAAAAATTTGCATGTAAAAAAAGATAATTATTAATAGAAAGAGTTTCAAGTTGTTTAGGTAGTAATTAGGATACTAAATAATAATTTCCCTCATACTCGTAAAAAATAAAAATTAAATTAAAACACTACCCTTAACCTTTTTTTATTTTTAATTTTATTTTAATATTACAAGAAGAAAAGGGGTTTCATTAATAAAATATAGCCAAACGACACATACATATGATTCCTAGAAAAAACAAGAATTCCAACATAAGTATACACCTTAAAACTAAATACATCGTAGATTTGATTAACAATCGCCTTAATAAAAAAACTTCATTTCGGCTTGAAATCCACTGATGTGTAGTTGTTTGAGTGAAAATACTCATGTGGTCCTCTGTATTCTCGTAGAGATTATGAAACCCTAGATCTTCAATTTTCACCAAACAAACACAAAAAGAAAATAAACTCAGGAGAAAAATCATCATCACAAGGATGAGATCTATTTATAGAAAGCAATTGAAAGGTTTTTTGGGCTTACCATCGGTAAAAATACCAGTGGAAGCCCCTACGAAGATTCACAACTGAGACCAAGAGGAAAAGAGATGGTAGAGATGGAGAGAAAAGGGAGAAGGTAGAAGGAAAACCTTCAAAGAAATTGAAAATACCTAGCAATGGAGGTTAGGGAAACCCTCCCAAGGGAAAAACCCTAGAGGGAACCAAAAAAATCTCGTGACGACATATACAAAATATACAACGCATTTTCTATGCGACTAGCACACCGTGTGGCCGCTTGTAAAAAGAAATGGTAACGCCTATGACACCGACAAGTTAACTCCTATTTTACTAACAGATTAGAGTAGCCCCTTGTTATATTTATTGAGTTGCTCCTAAATAATTAACAAATAAAGTATCCCCTACAACACTCACAGACTAACCATTATAACGTACACTTACTAATAAGTAAGCCCAATATTTTCCTACAAAAAATAAAAAAATAGTAAGCTCTATATCACTAATTGAGTGACCCATATAACACTAAGTGAGTAATCCTATGGTGGCTTGCCACATTGATGAATAACTAACACAATCAAACTTTGCATACATGTCGACGCAATAGTTTGACTTAGTTTTTATGTAGTTAAATATCAATACAAAATTATATTCTTTTTAATTATAAAACCTTACGTCAATATCTATTTAACAACTTAAAATGATAAAATATAAAAAAATATAAATTTAGTGTGTATATATATATATATATATATATATATATATATATATATATATATAAGTAAAATAAATAAACTACAATCAATGTTAATATTATAGATAGTGAAACAAAAAAAAAAAGTCTAATGTGTCAGTTTTAATACAAAGAAAGGAGTAAAAATTAGTGTCGAACTCTGTATTTAAAAATGAGAATTATACTTTAGGAAAATTTGCAAATTGCAGCCATTGAAAGTTCGTATTTTGCAAATTGCAGCCATTTAATTTTTTTTTGTAAATTGCAGCCCAAAAGTTCGTATAAATTGTAAATTGCAGCCCGATTCAATTTTTTCATTGATTTACATGTTGAAAAATCTTCGGTTAAGGTTTTAGGGGTCATTTTAGCCCTTAAGGGCCCGAATTGAGCTCGGAATTAGCAAAAAAATAACGTAAGTGTCTCATATTTACAGTTTTCCACAAATCGATACACTTTTGTTACGCAAAACGAGATACTTGCGTTATTTTTTTTTGCTAATTCCGAGCTCAATTCGGTCCCATAAGAACTAAAATGGCCCCTAAAACCTTAATCGAAAATTTTTCAACTTGTAAACCAATGAAAAAGTTGAATCGGGCTGCAATTTATAATTTATATGAACTTTTGGGCTGCAATTTGCAAAAAAAAATTTAAATGGCTGCAATTTGCAAAATACGAACTTTAAATGGCTACAATTTGCAAATTTTCCTATACTTTATATAGAATTATATATTTTATATATCAATCAACTTTTTTACAATTTGTAAATGTTATGCATGAGTGTGTTGTGACTTTTGTTGTCGTCGAATAAATGGTTTGTTTATATGTTTAGCAAAAGTTTAAAATCTTGTTATAATAATTAAAAGATTTTGTGTTTAGGAGTTTTGTAACAAAATATTATAACAAATGAATTATATAGCATGTATAATTTTTTGTTAAAAATTAAGTCTGCTATACCTAAAATCATATGGTAGAAAATTAGTAAAGTCATTATAATTGTATCACAATTCACATATATTTTTTGTAGAGAAAACACACACATATATTTATAAGCTATTTACAATTCACAACATGTCTAAATGTTTAAATATAAGCTAGAAAGCACATTATTATCAAGTTTGATCTTATTAGATTAAAATTTTATAAATTTTCAATATATCAACTTTGTATAATTTAAATTAATGCACGCACAACTATATATATATATATATATATATATATATATATATATATATATATATATATATATATATATATATATATATAATGGTTAAAATAGTGAATCGGGGATCATTTAAATGTTACACATAACAAAGTGGAGGTAGTAATCCATATTATATTTTTTAAAATAAGATATATAATTTATACACATTAATATATATGAGTGATAATCTACATTTAATATATAAACAATTATATCTTTTACTAATCCATAATATAAACTTGACTTAAATATAAAAGATATGGATGGAGGAGGCCAGGGTGAGATCCATGAAGAAAGTTGAAAAGGTCATATCCACAAGTATAGTCTCATCAAGTTGAATTTTTCAGGATAAATAATTGGTTGAATTGAGTTTGATAATATTAGTGAGGTTGATAACATAGCACAATTAACTTCAACATCATTAGGAATGGTGTTAGTAGCCATAGGAATAATGTGGGGATGAAAAATAATAAAAATAAAAAAACCTAAAACAAGGACACGTGGCAGCCATGGAGCTAGTGTGCCCTGTTTTTGTATAGTACTACCTCCGTTAACCATTATTATCTGCAACTTTTACCAAAAATGGACGCTAAAGATTATGTGCAACATTTCCAAACCTTTCCATATTTAGTAAAAAAATTAATAAAATTACAAAAATACCCTTACTTAAAACTTTATAACATCAATTATATTCTTAAAGACATGATTAATTATCTAATAATCTAACCTAATTAATCTTACTGCTCCTATCAAATTTAATTCATCTCCCCCAATAACTCATTGAAATCAACCAAACTAATTCAAAATCATCCAATTTCTCCTCATTCATACCCTAATTTTTCACCTTCTTCATCTTCCCCATTACCTTTCTCCCTCCTCCTTCAAACTCATTCCAGATCTGGTACGACGAAGAAGAAGACGACGTAGGCTGTTGTCAGTGGGTTGGATGGGTATTCGGTGGGTGTGGCGATTTCTTAGGTGGTTTTGGGTTCGAATTGGGGTGGGTTGTGATTCTGGGTTCGAGTTAGGGGTTTAGTTTCTGGTGGGTTGGTCATTTTCGGTGGGTGGATTTCAGTGGGTGGTCGTTCTCGGTGGGTGGTTTTCATAGGTGGTCGTTTTCGGTGGGTGGGTAGGTTTCGTAGGTTCTGGGTTCTGGTGGGTTGGTGGGTTTCGTAGGTGGGTGGGGGGGTTTCGTAGGTGGGTGGGTGGGTCATTTTCGCAGGTTCTGGGTTTTGTGGGTGGGTTTTGGTGGTTCCGTCGGTGGGTTTTGGAGGGTGGTCGCCGATCTGGGTTTTGGTGTGTGTTCGTGGAGGTTGTCGGTGGTTTCGGTGGCTGGGACGCTGGATGGTTCTTTCATTTTTTTTTAGGATTTGGATTGATTAAATATTAATGACATACCCTTACTTTTTGTTAAGCACCATTAAGAAGTTTTGCATTGGAGTCCGTTCCTCTCCCCAAAATTGCAAATAATGGTTAACGGAGGTAGTATATAGATTTTAGAATGGTAACCTTTAATAAAATTTGTGTGACTTTTAATATTATTGTAAAATTGAAGTACGATGTTATGTTAAATATAGTGACCCTAATTTTATTTAACATAGTGACCTTTAATATTTATATTAACCAGTATTGTTGAGGGTAAAAATACCTCGTATACGTGGACCAATCCTATAGTGACACGTGGCCCAGTTATAGGGTGACACGTGTCCCCATGGGAAGATGCCACGCAATTCAGAGCCCTTAAGGTCTCAGGCCAATCTTGTAGCGACACGTGGCCCAGTCAGAGGGTGACACGTGTCGTCATGAGAAGATGACATGTGTTTAGGGCATGTGTTCCCTCTTTAATCAGCACACCAAAAAGCCCTAACAACGTCAGGGCCTAAATCCCGAGAGAAACCAATGAAAGCCGTAAAACGGCGCCCCCAAGGCAACACGTGGCATTCACTGATTGAAGCCAATCACGCCACGCCAATCTAGGGTACAAACCCTAAAAGGGGCACGAGCCCCACCCCTATAAATACCCCAATCATTTATGATGGGAGGGGGATTTTTTCAAGTCATTGGTATACACAACAGAGCATTAATTAGCTCCAACTTCTCTCTACTTTCTCTCTCTAGCCTTTTCCGTTCTGATTACTAACTTGATCGTCGGAGGCGAATATTCCGTTTACCGGAATATTCGTTATTTTGCAGGTGGGACCGTCTCGTTGCCAGGAGAGCGTGACCAGTATCCTAGGAAATCCAAAAAACACCCGAAACAAGTATATTAATAATTTTAGTAAACAAAATACTACCTGCACTGCATTAACAGTTATTTGCAACATTTTCCATTTTTGGTTGCTATCTATTAGGTGCGACAATTTTTTTCTTTCCATTCTTAGTAACTTTTTTCCAACAAAATGACCATATTACCCTTACTTAAACAACTTAGACATCTAATTAAATTACTAACCTAATTTAACTCTTTACCTAATGAATCTGATTATTGTAATAATTTTCACAAAAAAATCATACATCTTCATCAAAACCATTCAACTCCCTAACTCTTCTTCAATTGAGATCTCCAGACACTAATCCTACATTTTTGTTCATCTTCCCCCTTCTCTCTCCTCTTGCGATTTGGGTTTGGGTTTGGGTTCGTCTGGTCGTGGGTCCAAGTTCGTGGGTTTGGGTCCAAGTTTGTGGGTCTGATTGTGGGTCCGAATTCATGGGTTTGGGTTTAGGTTTTGGTCGTAGGTTTGTGAGGGTTGCGTGAGTTTTGTGGGGATGGGTTTCAGATCTGGTTCGTTGGGGTGGCATGATTTTGTGGGGGGTGGTTTTAGGGGTTTCAAATATGGTTTTGTTGTGGTGGCTTAATTGGGAGTAATTCAATTCGTGGTGGTTTTGATTTAATTGGGTTTCGTGGTGGTTTGATGGGTTTGTGTTGGTTAATTTATTGGGTTTGGGGTGGTTTTGTCTGGTTAGTGGTGATTTTGGGTAAGTTCTTGGTGATTTGCTGGGTTTGTGGGTGGTTTGTTGGGTTCGTGGTTGGATGTTGGGGGCTTTGGTTGGGTTCGTGGTTGGGTTTTGGTAGTTTTGGAGGTGGTTTTGGGTTTTAAGTGTCAGTAGGTTGGGTGGTTCTGGTGGTTGTCGGTGGGTTTTGGTGGTGGTTCTGGTTTTGGGTTTCAGTGGTTATAGGTTTTGTTTTTTTTTGTTTTTTTTTGTTAAGTAGAATTAATATATACTTAACCAAGGGTCCTTATTTTTCAATAATCATGCTTTAAAAGTATTGCCTAGGAGTCTGTGCTACCTCCCTTTGTCGCAAATAACTGTTAACGGAGGTAGTAATTAAAAAAATTAACCTCTTATGACTTTTATATAATTAAACAATGATTTTTATTTTAGGATGTTTCTACAACGGTCGTTTGAAATATGACTACCTTATTATTTTCATGATAAATTAATATGAGCGATCCATTTTTTCACACTATAAGTTAAACACAACTAGTATTCTAATTTCTACAATGCAAATATAATTTTTGAAAATTTTAATCCAATATAAAATAAATATTTTTCGAAAAACTGTAAAATAAGAGTACAAATTACATAAATAAAACTTAAAATTTGATAAATTAAAAAAAATGTTGACAATAATATTTTATAGCAAAAATAGAGTAATATAATTAATTACTTGGATAAAAATCTAATATATATAAATAAAGTAGGCATTTTTCGGGAGAATTTGGCGCGCCACATAAAAAAGGTATTATTTCGACCAATAAAAAATTAGATTAATAATTTATTTTAGAATTAAAAAATTTACTCGCCACCTAAGCAAAAGTGACGAATAGGATTTAAGAATTTTGACACATAGGTATTGAATAATTAAAATTTAAATTACTTTTAAAAACCAATAATTATCTTTTCTAAAAATAAAAAAAAAACAAAAAAATAACATATTATTGAAATATATTTACACTTTTTTATATATACAAAGCACATACTTAAGTTCGGTTATTTTTTAGAATCTCAATAAAACTTCGGAAGACATGAAGAATATCAGTATGATTGTAGCTCTACTCTTTGTTGCCCTTGTGGTTTGTTCAGGTTTGTACCTTACTTATTTATTAATTTCGGTAGAATAATAAATTGTATGTACGTGTTGATTATTTTATTTGGTCTATGTAACTAATTTATGTAATCACGTTGCATTTAACAACTATAGTATAGATTATTTTGTTATACAATAATATGATATTGGCATGCAGCTGATGATTTTGGAGATTCAAAAGTAACATGTTGTCAAGACAATCATATAGGAGAATGTATTCCAGGATCTGCAAGTGAAACCAAATGTAACAGTTTATGTAGCAGTTCTTGTGCTAAAGGAGGCTTCTGCAAAGTTCTATCACACCCTCCTCCTAACCATTTTTGCCATTGTTACTGTTGATCTATATATTCTATATAGTTTCGCAAATAATTATAAAAATAAGAAACTTCCATGAACATTCATCTTATGTAATGGCTTATCCTAAAAGAAAGCCTTGACATTCAATTTATAATTACATAAAAATATTATTATATTAAATATTAATCTAACATCATTTTGATTATATTGTCATAGAAAATCTGCCTTTTAAGGAGGCTTTTGCAAATTTTCATCACACCCGCCCCACTAATCATTATTGCCATGCATTGTTATTGTTGATCAATTTTCTATATATTTGCAAGTAATTTTTTTTTAACCTACTTTTATTATCCATTTATCAAAAGAAATTTTTATGCAACATTCAACCTAAGTCCAAGTTTTATTGGACTTACATTAATTTAAAACATAAATTAAAAAAAAATGGAATACAATTAGCTTACAATTACATTAATTCAAAACATAATTAAAAAAAAATGGAATCCTATGAGCAGGGCCGTAGCATTGATTTTGGGGGCCCTGTTCCAAATCGAAAAAGGGGCCCTTAATAATGTTAAAATTATACATTTTTTTTAATCTATAATTTTGGCAATGCACAATTTTCCTATATATACATTGCAAAATAAAAATGCTTTCATATAACAATGATATATTCAATTACGCAAAATTAAATTCGGATATTTTATTCATGTTGATAATAGTAACTAAATACAACTCAAGGCTCATATCAACTTAAGCTATATTAACTTCTATTTATTTGAAAAGTGATATTCTTCTAACGCTCTTTGCGGCAAAATCATCAATCAAGTCTTCATATTCCACTTTCTCTAGAAGATCATTCTCAATTGCTATCATCGCCAATCCATTAAGTCTTTCTTGTAGCATCGTAGAACGAAGATATGACTTCAATAGCTTTAACTTTGAAAAACTCCTTTCTGCAGTTACAACTGTCACAGGAATAGTCAACAAAATTCAATAGTCAACAAAATTCTATATGCAATAGTAGCATTAGGAAAACAACCCACATCATTCAAAAATATCAAAAGGTCCTTTTATGTCATTGTGCAAAATTTCTTTAAGCAACTTCAACTCCACAAATAATTCATTCCCATCAATATCTGATTTTTCATTAGACATAAGTGCATTTTCAAAATTCAAACAAGAGGATTTCAAACTTAAATCATCCAATGACTTCATCCTTTGAGGAGTGAATAAGAAACCAAAAATATTTTCATATTCCTCAAATTGCTCAAATCTTTTATAAAGAGAACTAATAGCTTGATCAACAATATAAAGAAAGTAATCAACTCTAAATGATTCTTCTGGAGATAGAGGAGCATTTGATGAAGTGCTTGGATTCTCATCAAAATGTTTTTTTCTTTTAATTTCACGCTTTTGGGGAAACATAGGATCAATATCCATTTCAATAGCAATGTCCTTAGCCTTACTCAAAGCATCATAAAAACCAGTTTCTCTATACCCCTCAAAAAAAGAAATCAACCCTCTTATTTTTTTAATAGCCACATCAATAAGCATATCCTTTGATTGTAATAGCTTGCTTACTAAATTAATTGCAAATAATATTTCATACCAAATTACTATTGCAATTAAAAACTCAAAATCACCAAGCTCATTATTTGCTAAGGATTTAGCTTCACTCTTTATATTGTAATCCTTATCATTGCTATCGGCTACTTGAAGTAAAGCTTCTCGTATATCTGACATTTGAAATCTAATAGCCTTAACACTTTCAACTCGACTTTCCCAACGAGTAGATGACAAAGACTTAACAGTTAGTCCTTTTACATTGTCTTTCAAGATTTGCCATCTCTTAGTAGAAGCTGTAAAAATTGTATATATACGTTGGATGACTCCAAAAAAGTCTCTAGCTTTACTACATGTGTTAGCCATATCACATAATGTCAAGTTTAAACTATGACAACCACAAGGAGTATAAAAATCATTAGAATTTAAATCCAAAAATTTCTTTTAAACTCCTTGATGTTTTCCTTTCATATTAGATCCATTATCATAGCCTTGTCCTCGCACATCCATTATATCAAGATCAAGATTTTTCAATTCATTTTGTAAAACATCAAAAAGCCCTTGGCCAGTTGTATCATTTACATTCAAAAATCCTGAGAAAGATTCCTCAATGCAAACATTACAATAAGAGACATTCACATATCTTAATATCAATGACATTTGCTCTTGATGGCTAACATCGGGAGTACAATCAAGAATTACCGAGAAATACTTTGCTTGCTTTATCTTTCTAATGATTTCATTTTTTATTGCAGAACCAAGCAAAAGTATTAACTCGTTTTTGATTGTATGACCTAAATAATGAAAGTGAATATTATTAGTAATACGGTTGACATGTTCTTGAATGATTGGGTCAAACTCGGCCAACATTTCAATCAAGCCCAAAAAATTACCATTACTTTTTTGGTATAATTTCCCATTTGAACCACGAAAGGCTAGATTATGTTTGGCAAGAAATTTGACAATTGCAATTAAAAATTCTTTGCATTACTTTCTTCCAATGGTCTTTTTCTTTTTCAATTAGCATTTGAGTCGTCTTATCAATAGTTTGATTCTTTTGAAACCTAAGACGCAACTCTTACCAAGTAGTCATATTCTTAACATGATATATGCTTGTCTCATGCTCTTTAAGTCTAAAGCCTACATGCCCCCAATCTGAAAATCCTTCATTTGTCAATTGTCCTCTTCCCATCCCTTTTTTTAAATATTTTACAGCAAAAACAATAGACTCTATCAAGCTCTTTGGAATAAACAAGCCAATCCCTATCACATTTCTCACCGTTTGATAAAACTCTAGTATACAAGTTAGCTGTAAATCGTCTTGAAGATTTATCTTTAGGACCTTTCACAATAGAATTATCTCTTTTAGGACCATTTTTCACTAATAAAACAATCATTTTAGAATCAAGACCATCCCAAACTCTAGGATCATATATATTAGGCACATAACTAGTTTCACGGTGATCAACATTATCATTATCAGAAGGCATATCATCAATATTTCCAGCATTATTATCATTCTCAATAGGCACATCGTCAACATTGCAATTAACACTAGGCACATCATCAAAAATATTATCCACATCATCAACATTCTCCGCAATAGGCATATCACTAACAAGATCAACATTAACATTATTAATATCATCAACATCAACATTATTATTCTCAACAGGGACATCATCAACGGGCTCAACAAGAGGAACTTGAGGTTCTTTTGTAACGAATTTATCAAGAGAACCTTTTTGAGAATTAATTAACACTTCTAATTTTCTCTTTTTGTTACGCTTTTGAGACCCAGATTCATACTTTCTAGGAGGCATAATCTCAAAATCTCAAAAAATAAAATAAAATTACAGTATCATATATATGGATTGAAAAAACCTGGAAAGCAGAAGCTTTATTTCAATCAATTGGACGAATTGGCGAATTACTCGATAACGTTGATTCTCAATCTTTGTTCAAAAGAATACGACCAATTTGGACCTTCAAAATTTAAAATTGTTAGATACAAAACTAGTCTCCCATCTGCTGTATATCAATCAAATCTGCTATATATGTTTACGAATCTTAGAGCATCCATTCCTTTAATTTTGATGTCAGATGGTTGTATAATTTTAATTCATTAATTCATTCGTATATAATTATTGATTGAATTTGTTTTATGATTGATTAGCTGTGCATTGGTTCTGATTTGAATGTCATTCATCTAAACAACCACAATATGTATTTGTAGGATGTTAGATTAATTGTACGATACAGCTAATTAGATTAATAGCGTGCAATAGTCTAGAATTTCCACTTTTCCAGATATTATTAGCCAAAATAAAATATTAATGTCTCTGTTAATGTCTCTGTTGCAACATGATTACACGAGCAGGGCCGAAAAATTAAAAAAAAAATGAAATAAAAATTGCTTCAATTCATCAATTGAAATTATCAAACCCAGAATTAATTAAAAACAAAAATAAAAAATTTACCAGAAGACACAGACACGAAGCATTCAAACTTCAAAGCAGGGCCGAAAAAAAAAATGAAATAAAAATTGCTTCAATTGAAATTATCAAACCCAGAAATAATTAAAAACAAAGATAAAAAATTTACCTAAAATCGATTGCTTCAATTCGTTCCCCTCAAAAAGAAAAAAAAAATTGCTTCAACCCTTCAATTCGTTTTTGATTTTGTATAAAGTATAATTGTATCAATTGGGAATAGATAGATGAAGATGATTGAATGGAAGATAACCCATATATATGGGAAAATAATTACCGTTTGATAACAAGAAATTCGGAAGATTGCAATTGATTTCTTGACTGAGTTTTTTTTTTTTTTTTTTTTTTCCGTTGAAATTCTGGGAAAATATGCAATACAATTTTCCATGATTGATGTAATTAGGGAGGAATTTGGAAACATGGAGAAATTAATATGGAAGGTTGAATTGATTGAATGGGATTATGAGATAATGGGAATTGGGAAAGTTGAATGCTTGAATGCGTGAATGTTGCTTCTCCTTCCTCTTTGCTGTCTTCTGGCAATAAAAACAACATTTATTAATTTATTTTATTATTTTTTCAAATAATAAGTGGAAAAAAAATTGGGCCTTTTAAATTGGGAGCCCTGTGCTAAGGGGCACCTTGCACATGGCCTTCTACGGGCCTGCCTATGAGTGGTTGGTTGGTGGGGGTGGTGGTTTTTTTTTTTAATTTTTTTTTATGTATAAATTGAATCTAATTATTAAGTAATTGGGTGGGTTAAAGGTTAATTAGAAGAAATGAGTGGAAATTAGAGTCTAATTAAATTAATTAGAGGATAATTAAGAAAATAGGTTTATCTCGCAAAAAATAAAATAAAATAAAAAGACTTTTTTTTTAACATATTTCCTTAAATAAACAATTATGTTTCAAAAAAATAACCGCTACGATCGATCTCGTTAAAAAAATAATAAAAATAAAAACAGTGCGATGAAATGAGCCCTTTTCCTAAATAATGTTGGGAAAACATGCAATTCCCAATATACAACCAATCTTTTTTTTAATTCTCACCGTACCATCCATATCACCTAAGGAAAACAAACCGGTTTTTTTTTTCTTGGTCCAGCAACAAACCGCTACTTCAAGTAGCGGGGTTAAGAGAATAAACTGCTACTTGAATTAGCGGTTTTAATTTCATACACCACTACTTGAAGTGGCGGTTTTCCATAAAATACCGCTACTGATCATGATTTTGTTGAATTATTTTACTAGGGAAAAGGAGAAAGTGATTTTGTTAAAAAAAATACTTAGTAAATACAAACCGCCACTTCAAGTAGCGGTTTCTAATAAGTAAATCGCTATTTGAAGTAGCGGGTTTTAGTAGCACACCGCTACTTTAGCGGTTTTCTAATGAACCTGTTAAAAAAAAAAAAAAAAATTCTCACTGAACTGTGACGTAGACGGTACAGTAAGAATTAAAAAAAGATTGGCTGTATTTTGGGAATTGCATGTTTTGCCAACATTATTCAGAGAAAGGGCTCCGATGAAACACGAAACCATCTTGGTTTTTTTTTTTTTTTTTTTTTTTTTTTTGGTGGACAAAGACGAAACCATCTTGTTACTCAATACTCACTCAGTCTTTTGCACTCTATTTCAAACATGAAAGTAGCAGATCAATCGATTCAATCTCTATTAAGAAACTGCAATTCAATCATTCACCTTAAACAAATTCACGCCCAAATTCTACGCCACAATTTCCATGAGCAATACTCAATAACTTCCTCCATTGTTACTCTGTACACCTCTCTCTCTCCTCGTCACACCCATCTCCTCTTCTCTTCTCTCTCTCACCATGTCACTGCATTTCTCTTCAATCACTCAATCAGAGTTTTCTCTAAAACCCCATTTCTCTGCTATGAATCCTTGCAATTATACCTTCAAATGGTTCGTTGTAATGTAAAACCTGATAATTACACTTACCCTTTTCTACTTAACTCGTGTGCTGCTCTTTGTGACCTTAATCATGGATGTGAGGTTCATGGGCGTGTTGTGAAATCTGGGTTTTGTTCAATTGTTGAAGTTTTTAATGCTTTGATTGATATGTATGGGAAATGTGGTAAGTTGGGTTGTGCACGCAAAGTGTTCGACGAAATGCCTCAAAGAGATGTAGTTTCTTATAATGCTATTTTGGGTGCTTATGCTAGAATTGGGGATGAAATGGGAGATGCCCAGATGATTTTTGATGAAATGCCTGTTAGAAATTTGATTTCTTGGAATGCTATGGTTGTAGGGTATGTGAATAATGGTGATTTGGATTCGGCTCGAGCTACATTTGATTTGATGATTGAGAAGAATGTTGTAACTTGGACAACAATGCTAGTTGGTTATACTAAAAGTAAGATGATGGATATGGCTAAAATCCTTTTTGAGGCTATGCCTGAGAAGACTTTAGTTTGTTGGACTGCCATGATTTCCGGGTATGCTCAAAATGGACAACCGAATGATGCATTGACGTATTTTCGTAGAATGCAAGGAGTACATGTTAAGCCTGATGCTTTTGCAATGACTTCTGTAATATCTGCATTGGCGCAGTTAGGACGTCCTGATTTAGCTAATTGGATCATGATATTAGTGAATCAAGAAGGCATTGAGCGAAATGTAAAAGTTCTTACTTCATTGGTTGATATGCACGCTAAATGTGGGAACATTGAAGAAGCGTGTCGGTTGTTTGAGGAGATTCCTCAGCCGGATGTATATCCTTATAGTGCACTTATAACAGGCCTTGCTTCACATGGGCATGGCATCAGAGCGCTTGAGGTGTTTCAAAAAATGTTGATGGCAAAGGTTGAACCTGATTATATAACTTTTGTTGGAGTGTTAAATGCGTGTAGCCATACGGGACTTGTTGATGATGGTTTAGCATATTGGGAGAGCATGATAAATGATTACAAGATTGAGCCAGATGCAGATCATTATGCTTGCGTAGTTGATATGCTTGGGCGTGCTGGGAGACTTGAGCAAGCGTATAAGATGCTCAAGAGTATGCCAATGGATCCTCGCCCTGCTGCTTTTGGTGCTCTTCTTGCTGCCTGTCGAACTTATAGCAATGTTGAAATAGCAGAACTTGTTGCTCAAGAACTATTTATATTAGAACCTAATAATACTGGTAACTATGTGCTTCTCTCTGGTATCTATGCTGAAAGAGAGCAATGGGATGAGGCTGAAAGAGTTCGAAAAGCTATGAAGAAAAAGATCACAGCTAAATTACCTGGTCATAGTTGGGTTGAATCTAACAAATACGGAAAAGTTTATCGTGGCCCAGTGTGAGTGAAATGGGTAGATGATCGTGACAAAGGGAAAACAGACTATGTAACGATGAATTCTGATTTTGAGGTGGAATGAAGGTGCATTGTTCTGTTTTCTGGAGTCCAAGTACAGGAATATCAGCCTTCCTTTTGATTTTATAATATGTAGAGTTATGATCTTTCATTGATCGCTTTATCAATATAAGATATCTTATCAGTTTCCTAATGCGCCTCTAGTTTGATCGAGGTAATGTGATTGCTGGCTTGTACATTTTAAACAGGACAAACGTATTTGCAGTCAATGTCTGATGGCACTAATCTTGGAATATGTGCAGAATATAGAGTGCAGGTGAGACTGCCAAACATGCTTGAACTAAGGTATACCTTTCTTTAATTTGCTACATTTTTCTGCAATTTTTTTTTTGAAAGACATTTTTCTATAATTTCTTTTGTTGTATTTGGCATAAAAATTTTGGTCTAAGTCTGCATTGAAGCAAGTCAGACAATTTTGCATTGTACGACTTTAATGCTGTTTGTTAAAGCACCTGAAAGCTTCTGCTGTTTTTTTCTTTTTTCTTCCATTATTTTGCTGTAGTTTACCTTTACTCTGCTACATACACATTGATTATGCTGCCATTAGATTGACCTTTCTAATATATGTCCGAAGCTCCAAATGTATCATGCTAGATAGTTTGAATTACTGCTTTACCAATGTGAAAAGGTTGGATACACTTGATGGTCTATAATTACAGGAATTGATTTTATCTTCTAAGACCTTAATCTGGGAAATTTACACATGCAATTCATTTAATCTCTATCTACTTGGTTATGTTTTAGGTATAAAGGAGAGTGAATGGAGGGAAGCTGTAATCTCCACATGCTCTTGGTAGTAGTTGAACCTCTATCTCAGGGGAAAGAAACTGGGTTGGGAGCTACTACTCCCCACCCTAACTCCATTTGCATGCCCATTCATTCCTTTCTGTTGTATGCATGGCTAAATTGGTCTCCACTGTTTTTCAACTTTTCCTGCTCCCTCGCTTGTTCACCGACATTGCTTATTCGACGTTCTCCTTGGACAGTTTCTCTGTTTCCGTCTGACAGTCCTGCCATCTTTCGAGTCCAACACTTGAAGAAAGGTAACTTTTTCCCAGAAAATTTCTTTTTCCCCGGAGAGTTACCTCTGTAAAGATGATGTCTAAACTCCCCCAGCATGTCCTTGCCCATAGCAGTTGCAATTTTTTTTGGCCCTTTTCTTTTATATCTTTTGTTAATAAAACCTTCATCTGCTTTGCTTTGCAAATCCATAGTTATATAATATTCTAATTTAAGGAGTGCTGGTTGTGTCACATTTTGCTTAACAATTCCCCAGCAATGCAGCCAGGGGTATTCTTGCACTTTTATTTTGGAGCACTGCTGTAGAAGCTACTGTTAGGAACACTAATGACCTTGATTAGAGCCTATTGCTGCCTGTATGTACTTCAATATTATTGATTGGCAAATAATTCATAGTTTCTAACATTATTGATGATTAATCTGACTGCTGAGATTGTAGTTGCCACTGCTAGTATGGAAAATACAATGATGAGAATCCAATGCCATGCCTTCATCCCAGTCCTAGCAGTCTTCCCCTTAACCTATGGCATAAAATAAGAGTCAAAACTTATAACTGATTTTTGTGTTGTTACTTTTATTGAAACTGCTTAGCCTTAGTATAAGTTACCTTGATGTAGATCATGCTTGGAAAGATAAAAGTTAATGTAACAAGTGTAAATGATCCCAAGAGGTTCATGAAATCTCCCATGAAAGGTATGGCCGCTGTCACCAAAGTATTGCCTGTAAATACAAGTACCCGTAGCAAAATTCGCCTTTTTATATTTCTTCTTGAGTATGTACTCTCGTCAACTTTCAGAAACTTGGTATCTAGCGCCTCATGAACTGGTTGGAAGAACATCTGACATTGTATGAAATATTTGAAGGTAAGCGATACTGTTGTGAGTCACAATTATTAGCTTAAGATACTTCCCATGCAAATTCCTTCTTTAATTATGAGCTCAATTGGAAACATTGACCAAACAGTTTTTCATAATTTGTTGTATGAAGATATCATGATCATGTCTTTGTATTATAGTAATCTTGGTTGGTTACAATTAAAGCATATTTAGGAAGTTCAATATAAGATTATCTAGAAATATCCTAGTAAAGTAGTAGTGAAACCTTTAACCCTTCTCATTTTCTCCCGCCAAACCTAAAAAATATAGCTCATGTGCCTACTACTACACAATAAATAGCACTTGGATCATTGATCTACTACTTTACTACGAGGTAATATATTCAATATGTTTGTTGGTCATTGGAGACTCTTTCAAGTTTCAACGATTTACCCTTGTTGATTCTGTAACTCCTCGTTTATCAGTCCTTTCTCTAATCACTCCTTTATCCTATTACCCTCTCACTTCTTCTTCCATGTCAAAATTACTTGCTTATAGTGCCACTACATGATTTTAAACTGACTTGTGATGGTGAAATAATTTTTAGTTACTAATTTGAATTAATGTATATGCAGTATGTCCAGTCTGTACTCTGTAGAGACTTAAGTAACTTATTTGATTTGTCTAATATAATATGTTTTTAATCTGGAATTTATGTGAAGCAGAAGCATGAAAAGGGGGAGATGGGGAGTAATTTAAGTAAGAAGAAGCAAAATAACACATACATGTTGAGAGATGACATTTTGTAGAAAGACCGCTAAGTTGATCAGGATCTTCGCCCATTTTGGGCCGCTTAGTGCCATAGGGAGATAATCTGGAACATCTGAACCATAAAGCCAATATCCGTAGATACTAACACCATAATATACCATGAGGCCAACAGTATATTGTGTACACAAGGCAATTCTCATGTTCCTGACAACTGGCTTCTGGAGAGTTGACTGCACGATTCAAAATTAAATTTGGTCATTGTCTCATTGAAGCTAGTTTGAATATTGCTCTCTGTTTCTGCATAACTATATACTTTCTATGGTGTCAAAGCTCATATTAAGTAGTAATTTTCACCTGTATTTCTGGTACCATCCCTGAATTGTTGCTTACGATCATGGCTGATACTGCACCTAAGGCATTAAACACCTTACCCACTGTGCTACCCCTAACTTCATAGTTTCTGTGTCTGTTAGAATTTCCTGCAAAGTGAATGGATGAATAAGTTGGGTTGAAATATGCATTTGATGGAGTAGAAATGTTAAATTAAAGAAACAATTGTTATATACTGTATATAAATTTTACTGTGCGTAGTGCTTACATTCACTCACACGTGTGCATTTAAATATATTACACACACAATCACATTACTTGCATTATTTATGCATTGAGCGGGCATTGTAGGGATGCAACATTCAGTTCAGCTTCTAATTAACATAAATTTTGAAAGATCTATCCGTTTTAAGTTACGAAATTCAAGTTACCTTTTTCAGCCTTAAGACAAGGTAGTTTAAAGGCAATTAATGCTATTCTGTTTTTGCTTTCTGATTTAGGGTGATTGTTGCTCCGTGTTTTACCTCAAGTTGGGGGGATGGAATAGTGTTGTTGAGGAGGAATGGGAAAATTGTGTTAGCCTGTTAGGCAAAAGGCTAAAGACCTAACAAAACCGATTAGGGACAGACCTATCTGCTGAATTCTGGTGAGGGGAAATAAGCCACAAACCTTTGAAGCTCTATCAAATTAAGTACACTACATAATTCTTTGGCATCTGTACATGTTATTGCAGGTTGAGGTTATAAACATTAACAACATTGAGCTTACCATCTTTTGCTGATACCGCAAGAAGAACTCCAATAAAACCGAAGGTGAGAAATGTAGAAGCTCCTACCCACACTCTCATGGCAGACATGTTTGGGACGACAAAAGCAAATATGCAGTATACTACTCCTGTGATAATGATGTAATACTGGAGCCTCAAGGCTGTCTCACTGAACACCAGATTTATCTCCTGCAAGAAGACCATTACAAGTTTAGCTGGTATTAAGATCTTTCTCTATATTTGCTTATATGTTGTTTCTTTTGGGTGGAGCTGCTGATTATAATCAAACTGTATCTAAGAGAAGGAAGCTTCTTTCAAAATTATTTGAAATTACCCTTAACTATTTAATTTTCACACAGCCAAACATAGCCATTTCTTCTTGATTAACTCACTAGATTAAAAGTATTCATAATCAATTATGGCGGATTTTGCCTACTGATTTCTAAGACTGCATAATAATTTTTTTTTAATTTTTATTTTTAATGTTTTTAGTTTGAAGGAGGTTAAATGAACAATATACCTTCAGTGCTCTGCCTCCTAGAAGGATGAAACCCATATTTGATAAAATAAAGGTTGAAAATTGGAGCATATATGTTACATAGTACAATTTCTTTCCTGCACAGTTAGATGTTTGGTATTAGGTGTCTACTTCATCGAAATAATACAGTTGAAACTTTATATTGTAGTTTTTTTTAGCATACTAACCAAATAGATACCCCATGACGTCTCTGTATCTGATGAATCTCTGACCTTGGATGAAGTGAAAGCCTGCTAATACACAGCTTGAGTAGCAACTGAAGAACCCAACAAGAACTAAGCAGACAATACCCCATACCCAACCCAGGGGCACCAACATAAGGTTTGAAAAGCTTAGTATCCATCCACAGTTGAAGCTTGTTATGAGCATCAAACTAACCTGCTGCCATGAATCTGTATATAAACCATAACAAAATTATCGCGTCAAAACATTCTGTTTCATCAGGCTTATAGATAGATGAATCTAAGAAGACACACATTTAAATTGTAAATAAGTGTAGGATAACACATTTTCCTCTTTTTTGTACACTTCACTGATCTAGTGCTAAGAGATATTGCACTATGGTAGAGGGAACCGCCACCTTAGGCTTAATATGAGAAGTAATCTTCAGTCCTCCCTCAAAAACAAACTAAGGACATAGTAACTGTACTAAGATTCTAATGTTGCAGTCGAAATCTTGCATATAAGACAAGAAGCTGGACCTGTTATATCAAGAAGACAAAAAATGACTCGGTGGTCACTTATCTCATCACTTGAGACTCAAGGATAAGGGAGAGGGGAACAAAATGGGATAGGAATTAGGTGTCTCAGCCCATAAGCTCATTACCCCTGTATATGTGATTCAGTGTCTTTGGCTAGTGAGAGCCAGAGAGGTCACCCGAAGTTTATACATTACTAGATAGTGCTCGAGTCATGCTCGGATAAAATCAAATAGACAAAACTCCGGACGTTACCAAATTGTTTGCTGGTTAGCTGTGGGATGTTATTTAAAATTTTGCATACTTTTGGTTAGTGTCTTTTTTTTTTTTTTTTTTTTTTTTTCTCTCTAGGTTGGTTGTAGGCTGTTATATAAATCTTGCATGAATTATTAAGGTAATTACGTCGATGACTTGATAGCTAAACATAACCTAAACTTAAAGTAATCTTGCTTGTTTTAAGGTCTTCTTGTTCACCTCACACTGCTGAAATTTTAAGGAAACAAAGGAAGTACGAAGTACTTATGTTTCTTTGGAAAGATATGTCAGTGCATGGCGGGGTGATTGACACCATTGGCCTAAAGCCAAGAGATATTGTCCTCTCTCCTTCCCACTATCAGAAAGTGTTTCTTTCTAATATTCTGCTCCCTTTGTTCATAATTAATTGTCACACATACTATTTATAATATCTATATAGGACAGACGGACTGACTTAGGCGTGGAGATGGAATAAGACTTATACTAGCACTTACAACTTTGTGACATATAGTGTTAATAAACAGAATTGTCAGAGCAATAATTCAAAAGCTTAGATGATGACATGAAAAAAAATATACAAGTAATAGTATTCAAAGGCTTAGATTATAATAAAAAAAAAAACTCACCATTTCCTATAGTGTGAGCAGAAGTAGGACACTCTTCTTGGTTTTGATCATCTCTAATTGATCCAGATTCAATGTTAAGTGTTTCTTGCTGTCTAATTTTGCTTTCTGTTATCTCCATTTATTTAAACTTTTGAGAGTGATATTGTTACATTTGCCAATTGTTACTTCTTTATAAGGAAAACATCTGATGAGTAATAAGGACCATCAATTTGCGTCAATCAATGACCCTAATATTACAACTTTTGCCTGCTGGCTGCTGCTGCTTCTTCATTATTTTCCATGTGTACTTGGCCACTACTTCCTCTTTCATTTGTCTCTCTTTTTCCCAACTTTTTGGTGAGGATCTCTATCATGGTTGGTAATGTATGCATGTTGGCAGGTTGTGGTCTATTCACGTAGTAGGCTAGGGACGGCATCCGGAGTGGTCGGCAAGGGATTGTACGTTACTTTCTTTATTCGGAATTAATTTAACTGACAATCAGATTTAACTCCTATCATCAAATAAAGAGTAAAAAGGATGTGACATAGTTTTACGATGCATTCTTTTCTATCACTCCATTTAATTTAGTTAAGTAGCAAAACAATACCAAATGCAAAATTTGCCAACACCACTCATTGAAGAGGAAAGTAGATGGGATCCACACCACTTCCAAGCTCCATCAATCATAAGTATATATACAAGTTGATAGAGTAAGTAGGGTATTATGATTTATGAATGGGTAAGATGAATTGTCATTTATTTCAGGGACGATATTTGGCTGCCTATTTCATGTCGGTAATTTCATATTTTGTAACCTTGTGATCTCTATTATTGCCGGATTCAGGGACTGGATTGTAATATTAAAATATTATCTTTCACATTTACAAGCTTTAAAAATAAAAAATGAATAATGACAAAAGTCATTTTCTTAGCAATTTATATCTATCTATACATTTTATTTTATTTTATTTTATTTTTTTTTTGTTTCGCTTAACATCCTTATTGTCTTTACTCCATATACCGATATACAAATAATTTTTACTCTCTATATAGTCCCTATTTGACAAAACCTACTACTACCTCCATTTTTTTAGATGGCGGCGTTTTATTATCACGATTGCCAACGCATGTTGTTTACGCTTAATATTTTTAATTATCAACATTGTAAAATTATAAAAAGTGCATATTAATAAAACATATATTGAGATAATTCAAACAAGATCTCACGTGATAATATTTTATCGTATTTATAAATTACAAAAGCGAATCAAAATGCAGTTTGTGAATAGTGTAAAAGTCAAAAGGTGTCAAAAAAAAATACGGAGATAGTCTTGTCAAAAAAAAATTATGTTTGTCATTTTAAGCGTTTTCATTTAATGATTACGCTAAAAATATTTTATAGATTAATGTATTTTTTTAAACACTTTCCCCTCACTAGGGTGGCTAACTTGCGCAATGCGCGCTATAGCTAGCCACGTTCAGAAGATCTTTCGGTAATTGTCAACATAATGAGAAAATATGTAAACAAATATTTTTAAGTATAAATGTTCACTAAGTATTCTTAAGAGTAAATAAAATAAAATAAAGACAATTAACATTAATGAGGGCAAATGAAAAAATTAACATTTGAGAGTATAATTGTCCAAACACTATTTTATAGAGTTAAATCATAAAGTTATACAAGAAAAAGCTTAGAAGTAATTAATATTACTCCGTATATCAATTGAGGCATATAGGTAAACAAACATTTTAAGGGTGTAATAGTCTTTCACTCTATTTATAAGTGTTTTTTTCATTTTAAGGGTGTGATAGTCTTTCACTCTATTCATAAGAGTTTTATTATGTGAATAATAAATTATAGAAAGAGGCTTTGTATTAAGGGACGAAAAGAGTACTTTTTAAAAGGTAAAGATACACCTACTTCCAATGTAATTAAACCAATTTACTAAAATAATTGTGTACTCTCAATGCAACTATTCATATTTACTTACTCTCTCTGTCCCTATTTATTTGCCATATTTGACTTTTATGGTCTCAAAGACGTGTTTTAAAACGAATATAACTTCATTTCTATACGCGTAAAAATTATAAACAATTGATATTAATAAAATATACAATGAGACAAATCTAACAAGATCACAATACACATGATTATATTATCGCTTGTTGATTAATGGAGATTTATTGTCAAAATTTTTAATATTTGACCCATTTATTTGCAATGGGGCAAAAAAAAATAGGGTTAGAGGAAGTATATATCTACCCATTTTCAATGCAAATATTCTCATTTTCAACGTTAAATTAATGTCTTAATACATGATATATGTAATATCTTATCATTGTTTTGTACTATCTTATTTTCCTTATTAACTGCATAAAATAAACAAATGTTACCTTTCCTTTAAATCATTATTTTAATGTATAATATCTAATAAATTGTATATTTTATTAATATCAATTGTTTATAATTTTAATGTATTAATATAATATCTCCTTTTTGTGACCATCCTTTTATGTTTTTTTGTTTTTTTGTTTTTTTTTTTTTAAATAATGACCATCCTTTTAAGTAAGACTATATATCCTTCATCTAAAAAAATTAATCATATTTAAATAAGGAAAATTTGCAAATTGCAGCCATTTAAAGTTTGTATTTTGCAAATTGCAACCATTTAAAAAAAAAATTGCAAATTGCAGCCCAAAAGTTCATATTAATTGTAAATTGCAGTCCGATTTAACTTTTTCATCGGTTTACTAGTTGAAAAATCTTCGATTAAGGTTTTAGGAGCCTTTTTAGCCCTTAGGATCCGAATTGAGCTCGAAATTAGCAAAAAAAAAACGCAAGTATCTCGTTTTGCGTAACAAAAATGTATCAATTTGTGGGAAACTGTAAATATGAGACACTTTCGTTATTTTTTTTTGCTAATTTCGTGCTCAATTCGGGCCCCTAAGAACTAAAATGACCCCTAAAACCTTAACCGAAGATTTTTCAATATGTAAACCGATGAAAAAATTATATCGGGCTGCAATTTACAATTTATACGAACTTTTGGGCTGCAATTTGCAAAAAAAAAAAAATTAAATGGCTGCAATTTGCAAAATACGAACTTTAAATAGCTGCAGTTTGCAAATTTTCCTTTAAATAATGTTGCTTAATTTTTTTTCTTACAATTTATTAGATATTATACATTAAAATAATGATTTAAAGAATATATTCAGTAAAAAAAAAAATTTGTATGAGTAAATCTTTCTTAAATTAAAACTGTAAATCCATTTTATTATTCAAATATTATAATACCATAATTAATTAAGATGTGGGGAGGGGAGGGGAGGGGAGGGGGGAGGAATGACTTTTTTTTGGCATAAATTTGGACAAGGTTTAGCAAATACATCAAAGTGGAGCTAAAACAAGTTAAACCATTAAGGCCTATTAAAACCCTAGGGACAAATCATTTAAAGCACATGAAGTTTACATTGCTTTTAGCTTTAGTTAATGTAGGATTGTAGGTTGTTTGATTAGTTTGGTTTTTCTTTCTATTTTGTTTCAAGGTGTAAAAGTGTTGTATGATAGGCTATTAATGTTTTGATAAATAAAACACATGCAACATTAATTCATTATGATGGTATAATTGTATAAATGTATAATATGTGTTGCTTGCATTATTGGATTTATATGTCACGTGATATTATCACACACACTTATGGAGTATTTTTCTACATCACATGGATGTTTTTTTCCCTCCATCCATAAATAAAACGCCATATATTTTTTTTTCCCAAAAAAATCATTTTTAAATAAAAGGCTCCTCCTATAGGTGTGCTTTATTGTTTACTAATTTAATAACTTTTTCTAATTAATTTAAATTTAAATTTAAATTTAAATTTAATTTACAATAGTCACAGTACCCTTCTTATATCATTATATATTGCATTTTCTGTGTGGTTGGACACACCGTATGGCCAGGGTTACTCAGTCCATCAGTAGTGTTACTTATTCTGGGGTTAGTTACTCAGTCAGTCAAGTGTTACTTATTCTAGGGTTACTCTGTCGGTTAGCACGTTTTCTGTGTGGTTGGACACATCGTGGTCGGTTGACACACACCAATACACTTAATGGATAACCCTTGACCGATTGAGTAACTCTTAATCAAGTAACCCCTGACCGACCGAGTAACCCTGCTTGACCGCACGACCAAGTAATTCCCGACCAACTTAGTAAACCCTGAACACGTAATCCTTAAATACCTCTAAATGGGTAACGACAACCACATAATGCGACAAACCAGATATAAAAAATTTGTGATCATTATATTCGCTCTTACTTTCCTTAAACCACCTTTTTCCTTTTTTATTTGAATTGAATCCACAATACCTCATTTTAAACTAAAAATAGTTGTGTGTCTGGAAGAAATGGACTTTTTTTTATTATTATTATTTTTAGGGTTGGAAATAGTAATAAGATCAACGTGTTTTGTGTGCTGCTAGTCACATCATGTGGCCGCCTGTAATAGAAGAAAGCAATCCTTTTAACGAACATTAATTGAGTAACCCATATAGCACTAATGAAATAAACGCTTTAATACTGACCAAATAACCCATATAACACATACGGATTACGAGGTCATGGTGACTAGCCAAGCCACATATAATTAAGAATTTGTGGAATAAGATTTGGTGTGTTTATTCTCTCAAACAAATAATATTAAGATAGGTTTATAATTGGTGCATAAAGACAAACGATATGGGAAACATTTACTATTGAAAAAAGTATCAAAATTTGTTAGAGATATGATATATCGGAAAATATATGTGATATATTTTCCGTATAGATATTGTTATGATAATAATATATTTAGTATTATCTTATGTTAAGATATTATTTAGAGAATATATCATTAGGTTATATGGTATATCTTTTAGGAATATTGGCCTCTTTATTATTCATCAATAGGTGAGTATTTATACAAAACCTACGAACATAAAATAGAAAACAATATTC